TGGTTTCAAATAAAACACATTGTGGCAGTCAGGGCTGGCCTTTACTGAAATATAAAAGATTGTTTAACAGTAGACAAAAAATTATTTCAGTGTTTTATCATCACGGTCTATATTTCCTTGTAAAACTCATCATTTGTTCTTTCATGCAGATGAAAACGTATGTAGTTAGAAGCATGATTTATAACCCAATAAAAAAGTAACAGTTCCACTGTTGAAAAAAATTTTACATTATTAATATTCACATTGTTTGCTCAAAAGGAAGTGCCTTGGAAATTTATCTTGCCATTATTCTAGGCAGAACTGTATCTTTATATTACATAGATGAATTTGACTCACTTGATGGATTGCTTTTATCCTGCATTCAATAAACAAAAGCTGGGAGAATCATCAAATGCCACCTAACATATCTGTCTAATGGAGGAGGGTTGCTAATTAACTGATGTTACGTTATCTCTGCTATTAGGAGATGATTTTCTTGGAGGGGATATTGGTGCCATTGTGTTAAGTTGAGGACATAACCTTACTGGAGCACACCAATATCACAACATTGGGGAAAGCTAGAGAAGCTGCATCATTTGCATCAAACAAAATTGTCTGGGTGTTCCAACACATCAAAGACATTGATTTTTCAAAGGACATGATAGAAATTAATGTTTCTTTGACTGTGAATCTGTTCTAGCCTAGCTGTCAAAGTTAGTCAAATCATCACTTTATTGAAGTTGAGAAGAATGAAAAGAACACTGGACACATTTACCAATCAAAACTGGATCTCAATGTCTGCAGCGCTGTCCCTGGCACTTCTCTCAGAGAATCCTTCAAGCGTCTCCTCTATGTCAAAATTGTACATGGGATGCTGTCAGAACCCATGTTGTGGTTTCCGCAGTACTTAATAAAATATTCACCGGTTCGCTGCAGATGAAATAGCTTTCTCAGGCCCTTACTAACATTTGTGCATTATCATCCTTTGAAAAGAACTGCATCCCCACTAATTAGCAGCAGAAAGTCAACTGCCTGTAAGCAGTGCCATTACTCTAGTGGTGCGATATCCTGAACTGTTCTCGAGGTTTTACAGTTTATGATCATGCATCTCTGTAGGACTGTTGTCATCTTGGGGCCAGCGTGTGTGCAGCAAAGCACATCCATCCAGCTTACAGTAAACCATTTGCACAAGTGATGCAGTTGTGATGATGGCAGATCGACTGAGATGGAAGTGCATACAGACATTAGTGTGTCATTATGACAAACACTGGAAGCCTTATTGTACTTTTTCCATCACGTATCTTTCCTGGCCAAATCATTACTTAAGGGCATAATACCAGTCTGAGGAATATGGGATCTTATAATCAACAAAGGTTATATAAAGATAATGGTGATCAAGTTTACCACTCAACATTCTAATAATCTCCAAAATTTATGGAAATGTGAATAATAATTGACATTATTATTCAGCTTATACCAGCAATTTCAAAAGGTGTGTGTGTGTGTGTGCTTTTTCCACAAAAAGTGGAGTTTTTTACCTCCTTCATTGGCTCAACTTGAGAAATGACAAAGAACTGAGATTAAAATTTGGTCCAAACCAGACCTTTCGTAGCAAAAAGGGCAATTCTTTCTAATCCAATTCTACATTGCCTAAATATAGACCTATTACCATGTTTAGGTTACCTGTAACTACTTTCATCCCAATTGCCATGCAAACATGCAAATTTTATGATATATTTCAACAAAACATTATATTGGGTTGGCAACCATTAGTGAACTGTCTGGCAAGTAAGCATGCGTGAGGTGCTGCCATTAAGCCATGTTGTGTGGAGTGACTGCCACTGCTGTCGCCAGGAATATACTTGCACACCAGCAACACTGCAAGCCTGTGACAGTCAGCCTTGGGAATCCTAATTTCCTTACACTGCAAAGAAATTCTACTGTTTTCCCAGAGTCCAGAAAATAATTGCAACTAATACTGAACATGGTATAGCATTTAGGTTGATATGCTGCATGGCAATTAGTTTTTTTTTTCTGTTACACTTCAATCAATATAGGCTAATCATAATCCGTATTCCAGTGCCTTATTCTGTCTTATATACACCATGAATGCAAACCAAAACTATCGAGATTGCATGTCAATTACGTTAATTTCCTGCAGTAATGAAATATTTTCAATCTTCCTCAGAATCGTGTCTTTGCCAAATATCCCTGATTGCATGTGCTAGCAGTATTTTATCTCAAGCTAAATAATATATGGAGTTTTCAACAGACAGAAATAATGAATTGCCAATCTTTTTGAAACTTTCAAACATATTATATCACAAAGCCCTCAAATCAATATCGATTTTTCATATAAAAATTTCAAAAATCAGTTTTTTTATTTAGACTTATTCAAACTATCTGCAGATTTTATTTCCTTCCAATGAAAGATAAAGACATCCACTGTAACAATCTCAAAATTTAGTTATAGACTGGCTGTTTTTTTTTCTTTTCTTTTTACTCTGCCATTTTCCTAATAAGTTTTTAAAATGCAGTTGTATGAAAGAGTTTAGCTGTTTGTCCATCCAAATTGGTTTGTCAGTCCAGAAGTTACAGTTACACATTTACTTGTTCTGAATTTACAAACATCATGCTGTGTTACACTAAACCGCTTGGCAGAGGTAGAAATTGTAAACTGTAGTTGGGGAGGAGGGGCCCCTACCCCATATACCCTTCAACCTGGACTTTCCCTTGAAACCCATTCCTTTTTTTCGACACTGATGGCTAAATCAGAGTTATAATTATAGCAAAAACTGGGCTCAAAAATTATTGTTATGCCAAATGTCCTGAGGAGAGATATAAAGTAGCTCAAGCAATTACAAATCCCAGGTGCCCTCCCAAAGGACATGGAAAGAAGCCTTCAAACAGAGCAGGAGGTGCACGGTTGGTCGATCTTTTGACAGCTAAAACAAGACACAATGCCCTTATTATTGTAATTGGCTTCTTTACCTTTTTATGGTTTTGCCTTTCATAGCAACATAACCAGGTAAGCATCATGCAAGGACAAAAAAGGATTCCACTGCAAGAAAAAAGTGCATGAAATCAAACCACTTACCAAGCAATTATCTAGGACAAATTAATAATAATGCAAAATGTGCTTAAACGCCAGAACCGAAAAGTCTATAGAGGGTCAAGGAATGAAGACCTCTGACATGCAGCCACGCCTTTTTTCCCCCCATTTATGTTTCTAAATGTTTCTGTCAGTCTAGTCCACTGTGTCCCCAAAACTTGATTAGTCATAAAACCTGGTAAACATATTCAGAGGAGAGAAACCCCTCCCCCCCATCCCTTACAGACAGGCCCTTCACATGTTACAAATGGACACCTGAATCTAAACAATGTTCCGAGAAACAACTGGCATCTGCCACATTTTTTCCATTTCCTAAGAACAGGTCCACTAATGCTCTATAGATGCCATGCATTATCTATTATTTACAGGCATTTTGCTTCTGTACTAATGGCTGACAGTAAAACTTCATGTATGCATAATTAAATGGTGCATGCACACTGTAACTTACTAATAGTTATGTTTATAAAATACAAATGAAGCTTTTTATGAAAAAAGACCACAGTAACTGAATGGTGTTAACACTCTGCTAGCTAACTGTAACAAATATGCTGCAACTTAAGAAAACCATTCTCTGCGCTGGTCATTTAGGCCATATACTAATATGTAGAGCATCTTGCCGTCCATGTTCTACCCCCCCCCCCCCCGAGTTTCAGAAAACTCAACTCTATTATCGGTGCCTTCGCCAGCTCCGATTCTCAGAGTGCATTCCATATCTCCCTTTCACAGACTGTCAACTGTAACAACCTTCCCAAGCTAGTACAAAAGCACTGCGTGTGTCCCTCGGAAATTCCATGATTCACAGGTAATGAATCAGAAGTGTTTCATGGAGATTCCAGTAAAATAGGCGTGGTTTTCTCCGTTAGCAACAATTTTAAATAAACACAATTTCAGCTAATTTTCTTACATATCATTCTCTAATTTTAGTTACTTTAAGTACATATTTTGAAGGAACCTTTGGTGCTGTACTCATTTACATTCCTACAATCTCTGACGAACATTTACTCCATTTTTACAAAAGAAAAGCAAGGTAAAAAAAAAACCTACTGAACAATATTGAAAAGCAATTTACTTACTAATATTTCAATAAAAGATGTGTGTTGGGAGAAATAAAGAAATGTTAACAACTGCAGAAGAAACACTTACCTTTTGTGCCGTTTTTACACGAACTCCTGGGTTTTATCCGTTTTTCTTGCTCTGCTTAGCAGCCTTATATTGGTTGTCCCTGGCACCACACCTGCATTACCAAAGGCCAAAGCTGGCTGCCTTTTAAACAGCTTATCTTTATTATAAATCACATCCAGGATAACCTTGAAAATGTATATGCCACAGTTTTGCAAAACCTCCTCATTGATACCAGGAAAAGATAACCATAATCAAACTAAACAGATTACATACAAAAGAAATGAATACCGTCTGCTAGTATCCCATGCCTTATTGATTCCAGGAAACACAAAATGAGAGTTGCTTTTATTCTGGGTAGCAGTCACTGAAAAATTGCTGTGTAAGAAATATATGGGCACATTCACCTTCTCAACAACCACAATGTTGTGAAGAATGCTTCATTGCTGCACTCATCACAGCATATAAGTAGTTTTATATATTTAAAAAGAAAAGAAAAAGCAAAAATGGGATTTTGAGAATCTTTTAAAGATTCCTTTACAAGCATATTTATTGTAACTGTTACCTATCTCACAAACTCACACATTAAACAAACAAAAAACAAAATGTCTGTTTGGATTAAGTAAAGCAAAACCAAACAATGTCTCCCACCAAATGGACACATCTGTTGGCTTTAATTATCATCATTCCTTTGAGAACTCTACAAAATATTTGAAGAATCATAGAATGTCTGGTTACATTAGGATTACATATATCAATTTTACTTAAAGGTGAAGGGTTTGATCTTGTGATATAATATTTGCTGACAAAATGAAATGCTTCAAATTTATCTAAAAACTTGTATATATTATGTCCACAGATTTCTATAACAAACAATGTCTGAACCTTACCAATACTAGGTTAGAGTTACAGATAATTCAAAGAACTAAATCTTCCTACAGATTTTTATCATGTTACATAAAAGTACTGACTGATATGTAGCTATGTAATCCTAAACATTTGTTTACTGTTATTTGGCGACTTCTATAAATCAATCCTGTAAAAAAGCAAAAAGAGAGAATATTTTGTTGAAATAAGTTCCATCAATTTGGTATTTGTGATATCATATCACTGTTTTCTTTTGTCACACACAAAGAGTTTTAATACTCCTAGATAGGTTTTGATGTCAGATTGCATCTGTGAGAATCAAATAATATTGGTTTGTGACAGAGAAAATTTGCGACCTGGGGACAAAGAGAATTTTTTTACAACATAATGTTATCAGCATATATATCACAACACAAGATCAAACCTTCATTCAAAGTTATCTTTTAGTGTTAAGTCCTTCACATAATGTAGTGTTGTTCTTATTCAACCTCTACACCCATACCTAATACAGATAAATCCATTTAAATTCTTTAAATCTTTAAGCACAATCATTATACTAACAGCCAGGTAACATTTAATATCAAAATGATTTGTAAATATAATATCATGATTAAAGATATGATAAAATTATAATAACTAAATGCAAAATTTGCTTACAGTAACTAACATTATTCTGACCAATTTACAACAGAAAACATAAATATAAAATCACTATGCAAATGTGTCTATAATGTCTTAAGATTATAAAATTACACCAGTTCAAACTTAATTATAAAAGTGCGACAAAAAAGATAACCGATTCAGCCATTTATGCCTGAATGATTCCAGTAATGGAAAATTCCTTGAAGCAGGAAACTGCGATCTCCCAAAATAATGGAAATGAGTCGTCTTACCACAAAGCAGCATGTCATGCATAAAAGACAACAGGGCTGTATGGGTTCTAATGTTTCAAGAGAAACAAAACCCCATATATTGCCTCTTTAAATGATGAGGGTTAATACATACATGTTAAATGTTCTTCAGACAACCTCTGTAGAACCTATATTAAAAACACATAGGAAAGAATAAAAACTAAATTATTTTGATGAAGCCTATCCATTGTATACTAGATATCAACTATTCTTTTTAACATAATGATTCTATTAGTGTAAAATGAATCAAGTAAACCATGGATGTTAACAAAATAGAATGTATCAGTATATTTTTATGAAGATTAAAGCATTGTACAAGGATAATGCATGGGCATAAATATTACTTGTAAGTACAACACAATCAAATTTTACGACAGCCATATCATTCATTATATATGCCAGTAAATATATAATGAATATATACGCAAATAAATTGCAGATAAACACCCTATAATGATACATTTAATTGACAGAAATTAATGTACCTCACACGATTCTAATCACATGTATATAGCACTTGGTATGCAAAACAATTCTGCTTTCCAGAACCCTGTCTGATAATTCTACATGGCCCTTAACATCCAAATCCATCTTGGAGTATTTACCTCCTTACAACGTCAAATTCTATAGCTCAAGTGAGTGACAGAAACCAACATGTGGTGAGCATCACTTATTCTTGCATCTTCTTACATGTGGTGCTCAATGAAAACATTACACCTCAATATATCACAGTCACTGCTAGTCTAAGATGACCACAAGCTTACTTCAGTGTGTTCAGTGAGGGACCAAAACTTCTAGCACATTCCTCAACAAATTTTATATCAATTTGTTTTCAGTTTGCCAAACGTACATGAGTAATTGATGTAAAGCCTCATTTGAAGTCTCTCTTAAAGATATTACAGCATGTATGCACCCCTGTGTCACTCTCTGTGAACCCCTTATAACAGCTAGCTCAGAGGCTACTATACCCATGGGTTATGAAGACTGTGACAGCGTACGACCTGCTGATGATGATTCCTCCTGAATGGGATTCAGAACAGAAGATACACGAGGAATAGGGCTCCGTACTGATGGCTGAATTGGTGGCGGTGGCCCAAACGTGTCATACCTTGGTGAAGGAGAGTCTCCACTAGGCGAAAACATCTGCCGAAATTTTGGCCTCTCGTTTGGAGGACTAAACACTGAAGTATAGGGCTGAAATGATGGTAAAAGTGAAGTAAAAAAAGGGAAGTCTTACATATCACATGGAATAACATCTCAGTACAGTTTACAAAATGCATAGCATATTTTTCGGGCCCTGTGATTCAAACTGGCTCCACGAGGAGGAGGCATCCCAGCTGACGTATGAGCCGCAGAAAACCTGCATATCTTTCACTGTCAGACCAGATACCTATAATCCTGCCTCAACCCTATAAGTGCAGAGTGCCAAGCCAGGAGACAGCAAGTACCATTTATAATGAACCGGCATATCCCCATAAGGGGTCAAACCTACATCCTCCCACAGGTGAACACTCTGGACACAAAACCATCTGGTTTTTACAGATGGATGACAGACATATAGATGTAGGAATTAAGCTATGTTTTGTTTATAATTTTGGTCTTTCGTTTGGAAGATTAAACACTGAAGTATAGGGCTGAGATGATAGTTAGTTGCACTGATTAAGTTTAAATGATTAGTTGTAACTTGTCAGTTGTGACAAGGTATTTGCACATAGCCAGCAGTTAGCTTTTGCTTCTAATTTGACATGAACTGTAACACACTAAAATCTATCAATGCACCACACCAGGTATCATTTGACAGTTATCGAAGCACACCACTGTCACACCTTGCACACTTTCACATCCACCACAATATCTCAACTAACACACTGCTTAGACTTACCCCATCCTCTGAGCTATTCAGACCAGGTAGAAGGTCCTCCTGGTCCACTGGGGTGGCCTGGACAGGGTGAAATACACACAACATGGCCCAGATTGGGACCAAAAATTTCACTATCTGGAGTAGTAGAAAGTTTTACGGTAAATTAGCAAAGTTTGATCCAGATTAGGACTAAGATTATGAAAACATGAAAGGTGGCAATTTATGAAGAGTTACATTGAGAGTATACACTGTATGTAAAATATAAATACCAAGAATAAGATTACCTCGTAAAACATGATAAAATGTCAGTTTATTTTAATGTGGGTCAACTCACAATATAGCAAAGGACTTAAACACCTTGATGCAATTTCAGCATAACACAACTCAAGCATGTCTGATATTTGTCATCTTGACAAATTTTAAATTTTGTTCTGAGCTTGATTTTGAACTAACTGCAAAGCTTACCATAAATGTTCCAAATATTGGAGAATACAGCTCTTGCATGTACAACTTGAAAACAAAGGTAAATATTGTTTAGCTTTGACATCATGAACATTATCTCTTCAATATTGTCCCACCATAAAGACACACTTCACAAATTACTTTTGTAAAGCTTAATAATTCATGTCTGAAAGTCTAAATCCATTTACTACTATAGTTATAATAATAATCATAGTCAGTTCTAAAAAATATTGATATCTTAAAGTACATAAACTTTATTCTTGAGGAATATTACTCTCCCTGCAATTTGGATACTTACAAATATTCCACTGCACCCTTTCTCTTCATCACCAACTACAAAATATAACGATATGATAAAGAGAAGGATAATCTAATTTATTCATTATTTATTTATTAGTTTTATGCTGCCGATGTTCAGGAGCAGAAATTGTATGAAGAAGAAAGAACAAAGAACCATGTCAATTAGTATTTCATGTGTTAAAAATAAGATGATTCATACAAAAGACAAACCACTGCCAAATTGTTTGAGAAAAGTAAAGAAGAATATCAAGTGATCACTTTAATTTCTAATGCATACACCCTGAAGCGACATTCAAAAAATTGAAAGATACATTTGAATCATACCCTCACCTATTTTTAATGTGGCATCATAAACAAGACCAAACAGTGCTGACAATTCAAAAAATATTATAACTCTGAAATAAAAACACATTCTGTTAATAAATAATGCAAAAATGTACATCAACTGAGTCATAAAATGTAAACAATTTACTTAAGCAATTAACACTGAAAGATAAACACCAAACCACTTGTCTAAAAGCTGAGGTCCAAAAGACAAATGAAAGTTATTCCACAGAAAGTACTAATTTTCTGTACTTTAATCCAAATATTTAATACAAAATTTAATACAAAGATTTCATACAGAGACAAATGGTAACATAACTCAAAAGTTATGGCACCATCCACCTCTTCCACAGTCCATTATCACAGTTCACTTACATCCATATTTCTCTTTTTTGAGTCCTCCTAACAGAGTCTAAAGTGCTTATTTCATTAAGCCTTCTTGTTATATAGAAGCCTGCCAACATGAACAGTTGGACCAGGATAAATTCAGCTGAAGACAGCATAAGCCAGTAGGGTTCTGAAAATAAACAAAGATTTTGTTAATTGCTGACCTCTCATCACAATTTTCACAAGGTTAAATGGCTGTGTTGGGGTGGGTGGACAACTCACCTGGACAAACTGGTCACAAATGGTCAGACAAGTGAGGTTAATAGAACCAGCCTGATGGACAAAACAAACCAGAGAATGTCACAGGAATGGAGGGGAGACAGCCATATGGAGAGACAGACGGACAGACAGACAGATAGAAAGACAGACTGGAAGCCCCTTACCCATGCACTCTGTCCAGCTGTCTTTGATGTTGATGATCCCCATCACCATGACAACTGTGAAATATATCAGCGCAATTGCAAACACAGGAAACAGGACCCTGAAAAACCAGAAATCTGTGTTATTTGTTTTAGATGAAAGAAACTAAAAGTTCGGACCTAACACTACCTGATGTGAAAAAGCCCTTATTTGTTTGCAAAATATTTTTAAATATAAGATTAAGAAGAAGATTAATACCAAGACCAATAAAACTGCTTGACAAAATATCCTAATTAAAGCAATAATAACTCTTCCTTTGAGATTAAAAATTCCGCAAGAAATACATTGTAAACAACGCATGGAAATATATTACATTGCATTTCACCACTAAAACGGTTGATATTGTAGTAAAACTAAAACCTGTGCTTGTCAATATGGCTTTCGATGCCTTTCTTCCCGGTCGTCAAGGCATCCGTTGCCAATGACGTTGGGGTGTCACGCGGATTCTGGCATTCATTCGAGACCAAAATAACATATGGCGGCAATATGATAGCAGTGCATGATGGCATCCTCAGATGTAAGTTGCGAATTTTTGTACAGTGCGTCGGATAACGAATAGCCCAGAACTGCACACATTGTAGATATAAATGCATTTTGAACAATAAGATGAATATATCGTATGAATCTTATATTATTGTTATATAGTGTTGTTGTTGTAGTCTGCTTTTCCCGCGGTTTTAAGTAGGTCACCAGAAAACCTCGCTTGATATCGCGTGACTGTGCAATGTCAGAGAGGGTTCCGTCAGTTAAAATCTCTTAGGAGATTTTAATAAAAAACCAAACTTTTAGGAAAAAAATCCAAGACTAACTTTGAATGCAGGAATGGGGTCGTTGACCATTGGTAAGTATGGGAAAATTGCTGTTTACTCCAGGAAAATCCAATTTTTGGCCAAAACGAAGAGTTATTATGACTTAAAGTTAAAATTAATAATTAAATGCACAGATAAATATTTGCTTTAAAACCATCCTCTGGTTCATTGATACTTGTGACATCAACAGAGTGCTTTAATCTAACATAAACCTTGCGGTCAGATATATATGAGTACCTTCTCACAACTGTAGATGACACTGATAATGTGATAATGAAATGACAAGAGTACTTATGTGGTGGTCAGGTATATCCTCATCAAGAAGGTAATAACTGAGAAGCACCTCTATTTTAAATGTTTCATCCAGTAGGAATAAGCAGGGTATTTACAGCACTCTCAGACCCCATTCCAATACCTAGATCGATCTAGCAGGATTGATCCATCTCCGGGGGGGTTCTCGCACACTTACATTCAGCTTAAGTGGCTTGAGATGTCTTGCATGCTGAAGCTATTAGGAGGTAATTAACTATTGTGAAGCAGCTTCAGTAGGTGTGGCAGACATCTAAGATGTTTAAGCTGAATGCAATTTAGCGAGAGTCCCCTTGGAGATGGATCAATCCTGCTAGTTCAAACTAGGTATGGGAATGGGGTCTAAATCCAGCACCTCCCTCCTTAGTTCTGCTGGCACTGACCTTAAGAAATGACCTACCTTGTGGTGAGGTAATCCTTCCTCAATACTCGAGTAGCTGCTGTCCAGTAGAAATGACAGACCACTAGAAATTGCACCAGTTTGAGGTACTGCATAGCAAAGTCAAACTCTGCATATCTGCCCAGGATCCAGTGCACAGTGCTGCAAGTCCAAAAGATACAGTCAAATTTTTGCTTTTACATGTTTTGCCCTAAAAATATGCATAAATACTCAAATATTGGGAAAATTAGTCATAAGTCATTTTGATTTCTACTTTTTCAATGTATTCTTTAAAGAAATGATCATTTTCATTAATTTCACAAGTCTTATTACCGTATTTTGTGGTATTCATATCATACACTTTAAACTTAATCAAAAAAACCTTTTGGTTGAAATTTTAGAAGAAGCTACTTTCATCATCATTATTATTATTATTATCCTATGTGGGACAGAATTTGTTATAGTGTTATCAACCCATATAATAACAAACATGATGTCAGTGTTCACATCCTGAGAGAGCCATTATTAAAACATTTCCCCCTCTTAAAGTGCTTACGCTAAAACCAGACAAGCCATGTTCAATAAATTTGTAGCGCAATTATTAGCCTGGCATGCAGCAAGCTAATTATATCAGCACAGCTTATTTCTGTAAATTTTCCATGAAATTGTATGCATGGGACTAATGGCAAGAAATAGTCATCCTGCTTCACCATTCTTGGTACGGTAACACGTGTGTGTGTGTGTGTGTGTGTGTGCGTGCGCCCATGAACAGGAACTGTCCTCCATACCTCCCCTACAATGTCCATAAGTTTGTCACTTCCCTTCTCTCTCCCTCCCTTCTTATCCCTCTGAATAATCAATTAATATTTAGCACAATATTTCAGTTGAAAAGGAATCATCTAAATATACATTCTAATTTTTTTTCAAAATTTGCTAAACACTATTTGAACTAATTAAGATATTTAAACTTCAAAAATCAATAAGTTTGATTAATGTTTTGTCTCTGTTTGTCTCTGCCATTTTTTTGTCTCTGTAGTGAGTGCATTTACTGGTACATGCACGTACATGTGTGTGCACACTTACCATATGATAGTTTCTATTGTGGCACAGTAAAAAATAATGAACTGGTGGATGACAGGATGGCGGTACGAATGCAAGCGAATGACTTTGGCGGCACACAGCAAACCAGTTATGCTGACAAACAATGCCATGATTCCATTCCTAGAAGTCGAAAAGATATTTCTAGTTTAGATTTGGCAGTTCTAGTTTCAGTTGGCAAAGTGCTATCCATGCAGAGACTTTTTTGCAGAATAAAGCTGAACTGGAACCATCTCTGAAATATATGAAAAATTATTACCCTCCCCCTCACCCCTCCTTCCCAAATTCACTTTGCAGGAGAGAAAACTGAAACAATCAACAAACCAACAGGAGAGATTCCCTAGCCATAACATGAGCTAACAGTAATACCCAAGTATAAAAAGTACATTGCTTCACTATGTGAATAAGAATTCAGTAGAACTGACTGAATATCAGGTGGGATTTGTAGAAAATTGACATAATGCTGACTTTATCTTTCTTTTAAATTTGTTATCTTTTACATCCAAAAAAGAGATCAATTTAAACAGGACTATTTCCAAGAAATATGGTCAAAGAAAAACTGAAAAGCTTGTGTGAGATGACTGACCACTTCAGCCCACATCTACATGTACAGGCATACAGTGGACACTGTAATTATAGCACTGTCCCCTCTTCATACCAAGGAAAGTACGAGGGGAAAAAAAACAAATAGTGCTGGAAACATACAGGTACTAGTAGCCGATTGTTTATATTGCAAAACTGAATAGCTGCTTAAATGCCCTTTATTCTAATGGGAAAAATGAATTAATAAACATTCTGACTGATAAAGGCCCCTAGAGAGTATCAAGATTCATAACAAGGATAACATGTAGCTACAATTCATATCTTATAAATTGAACTTTCAAGATTATATATCTCAATTATATACAGTACTAAACTCACACATTTTTCTTTTATTTCTTATGTTTTTGTGCTTCATTACTGAAGAGCTGTGTTGCTACGAGTCAGGAAAATGCATTTGCAATATTACACAGCATACTGACATTACTCTCATATGTGGTACTTCTTTCTCTCTCTGGCATCATAAAATGATACAGCTCAATTGCACTGGCAGACTGCACTGAATTATGTTTAGAATTTTTTCCCCAGCCTATCAGTGGTATGAGTGAGTAAAGGTTAAGTTTGCCATTCTACCCTCAAGATGACCCAGTTCCATCAGGAAATGAAGGTCAAACCTGGAAATTGCCTGAGTGAAGGATGAAGATGTAATAAGGAGTGAAGGATGGAGATGTAATATATAATTTACACAGACATTAACTGCCTGTCAAATCAAAAGGAAATTTGACAATATGTCCAAATTTTACTTATGAATTTTACTTGAATAATTCTGATGTGTTATTATCAAGAAAATATAAAAAAATGCCTTCTTAAAATTTTATGGATTGTGTAAAAGGATTCAACTGATGGAGTATCAAATATATTATAGATTGTGAACTTCTCTCTTCAGAGCCTTCTCCTTAAATATGGGCACAGTTTGAAAATAAATTAATGTTCATTTTTCAGTAAATACCCTGCACTACATGTATCCAGAATGCATATTCATTTGTACTACATTCTTGAATACATACATTATCTAGGCCAAACCGAAACAATACAGAAGTTTATGGTGATAATTATTCTTGTGGAAGGAGACAAAATACCTAATTTAGTAAGTATTATAATACACAGGAAGGTGAAGAAGTCAACATGCAGTTTTTCTTTGACCATATTTCTTGGAAATAATCATTTTTGTACTGATAAGAGAAATAGATTCGTTCTAGCTAGTGCAATTGGCCAATAATTGAAAAGCTGACGAGCTGAGAGAAATGACTCAGTAGAAGCAAGCGCTAGAATGTTCTAAAATGGATTTTGAGCATAAGGTTGCCTAATAGTGTATGCAAACCTGGGTGTCAGAATTAACTTAAGAAAAATTATTGTCACTGACAAAATGAAAACACTGAGGTATATTCGCACCGCTCGGTCGTCAAGGTATTCCTGCTCAAGCAACACAGGGTGACTCCTGCTCTTGCCACCAACACCATCCAATTATTGAACCAAGCAAATTATTTCTTCCTCTTTCATATAGCAACTATAAATGTGTGTGTGTGTGTGTTTAATTACCATACTTTTGCTTGCTCTGTGTAATAGTTACAAATTATAAAATGCCTCATGAAAAAATGACCAATTTTATAAAAATAATGACAAATTTTGAATGTGAATAAATTTCTTGTTGGTAAATATTTCACACAGCATTCTACATTAGACACATCTACAGTCAACTCTGAAATTTTGACCCAATTATCAAACACACCGTCTCTCCTAACACAATTGGTGCTCACCTGATACAGGCCATGGCATTGAAGTTCTGGCAGTCATCCTGGAAACATCCTCCCAACATGATATCTGGCATTATAGAGTGGTTGCCAGATGAGTTTCCAGGCAAAGTTGCCATAGTAAATGGAGATTCTGTAGAAAGTGCCATGTTAGCTTCCAGACAGAAGCAGTGTAAATTGATAGTCTGTCTTCTCTTTTGGATACTAATTAGTATATACGATAGGATTATTTTTCAAATTTCCAGTCTCTCTCCTGCTTGCAATAAAAAATCCCCCTTTTCCTGTCTGCCTGACTCAGTGCACAGCAGCAGAGAGCCACTGTACCATATTATGACTGCAGTTCACGTCAAGACCCAGTTCAATATTAACTAAGGTTCCCATCAATATCCAAGACCAATTTGTGGCTTGTGATTCACTTCCGAGACTCAACTCCTTTTTTGATGACCGACAGCTCTTTGATTACTACACTGCATTGCTGCTGAATATTCTCAGTGTGTTTCCAAGACATGCTGAATTTCAAAACAGATGCCAGTGGAGTGTATCCCCATTTCCATCAGTGAATCAGCTATAGAATGCAATGCCCCTGGGACTTCCCACAATATCAGTTCCCCCCGGCAAGACAATCTGAAATTAACAAAGGTTTGGAAACTTTTAAATGTCAAAAGAATCATTTTTCATGTCTGTCACATTTCCAATGAAAATGTATCTCTCTCTGTTCTTTGGGTAAGTGGGAGTTGGTATACATATTTGATGTTTGCTCTGAAAATAACCTCTTCAGTCACATGTGAGAATGCTGCTGAAAGGAGAGCTGAAAAAAATCATACATTAACCTTGCTGGTCAAGTGATGGGTGATGCACAGCCTATTACCTTATATATCATGTCGGATATCATTATAATGAATTGATGAAAAAACTGCATGCAATAAAAATAGAACACCACTGCAGTTTACACTTATGTACGTCCACCTTATAAATAGGCCAAAATTATCACAATTATAACTCATAAACCTCATTCCCAGCATCAGATCAATAGGTTGAAGACAGCCTCCTGCACTTAGGTGCTATTCATAACTGTGAATTGCACATAATAAATCAGCCCGAGTCAATCAAACTGTTAAGTACATACACAGAGAGATGTTACCAAGCCTCTGCAGCAGCATCAGGGGCTACAGGTTTGAAACCACGCTGCATGCTTACCTGGGGCTAGTGCTAGTGCATTTCCAGTGCACAAGGCTTTTTCTTTTTCTTTTATTTTTTTTAATGAGACAAGTGCCTCAAAAGGCACAATGCAGATTTGTCATTATACTAGCAGTTTGGTGGTCACTTCAGGTCAGTAGAGTCTAGACAGTATAAGAACAAGAATGATACTTATTTACCGTTTTTGGCACACCTTCAATGTACAGTATGGGTTATTGCAGGGCAAACAACTTTTTTCACTATCTCATCCATAGGCATAATTCCTATTGGTATATGATATACTCACCTCTTGATGGCATTTAAGTGACCCTCTAAATTATGTCTTCGGAAGCTGCATCTTGTATCTTACCATTTCCAAGGACACCATTTGTAATAGTTTTCAAAAGGCTAGTTACATTCATTTTCAGAAAATACCTGTTCCAAACAAAAAATATGCAGTGCATGTAATGGTTGAACTGCCTTTAAGAAAAGATGGTCCTAAACCAATTTTGTCTCTTCATGCAAACTTTATGTAACAGGTCACACTAGCCTTTAGCCAGCAATATGAAAGGGGTGTCTTCTAGGCACTTGTAAACAAAGCTTAGAACCTAGGTCAAATTTTGATTCAGAGCAGACTTTTTCCCACCAAAAAGGATACTTTTCCTCCCCCCCCCCCCCCCCCAAGAGCAGACTTTGCCCCACCCCACCCCCACCCTGGCCCCCAGGGCCGGCACAGGACAAAAGTATTACAGGCTACCTCGCCAGAGGTCACCACCAGACGTCTGGGTCATTATGTTTATTAAATATATTTTAAAAATATATCCATTTGTCTGGGTCTGAATATGAGTACTTACATGCACATGAGATTATTTGTTTTTATTTAAATTTTATTTACCAACTGGAGAGCTGTGTTCATTTTTAAACCTAACCTTTGAGTTCCTGCAACAGGTTGATAAATATATTATCAAACCAGATACTAACAAAAAAAATGGCACCAAGAAGATAAAAAAATGAAAACAAAGCTTTAAATCTTTTCAAATACATTCCCAATTTCTTGTGCTGAAATTATTTAACCAATAGACATATTTTCCATTATTAAAGGGAAGGAAGCACTGTGCAACATTTCATTTTTTAATAAAAAAAATGAATACCAGTAATGATCAGCATAAATAACATTCAATATCACATATACAGAACATAAATATTTCAAATTTGTAATGAGCTAAAAGGAACCCTTCTTTAATCTTCTGCATTATAAAATGAAGGTACGGATTATCCAGTGACTCCAGTCAGTTATCTATGAAGCCCATCACAGTAAAATGTGACAGAAAAATGTGGCAGTGAAATTAGATAAGACCTATCCTTAACCACTATGCAAATATTCAACATAAAATATTTTGTTGTGCTAAGTTGGTCACTGTGTGAGGCAAAGGTTACATGAAGGGCACGGGCTGTTCTAATCTCATGATGGCTGAGTTAGCACTTCCTCATTATTAAGGATATGCGGCTTTCTCGTGGGATTTTTCACACAGTCAATGTAATGTAATTGGATAATTGCATTCATTCACCTTCACTCCAGCACAGAAATTCATCAGTTTAGTTAAATGGAACAGGTGATTTTTTTTTTCAATAAAATTTGATTAAGTCTTTAATTCATGTGAAGTCTATATACAAATATTTTTAGCATTTGCTTACATTTTGAATGCACTTCTGACACTTTGCCAGACAAAGCTCCAGACCTAACGTTAGGAATTTAGAGTAAAATATGAACAGAAAATTGGGCACAGAGCCAATGCAGTTGTACAATTTAAGTGTAACACCAGCTCCATAATCAAAATGCTTTTACATAAAAAAAAGTGTACATACATGTACATACAGAGGCATTATGGCTATGAGAGGAATTGGTAGAGCTTCCTTATCACTGCTGGAGACAAAATTACCAGGCTACGTTTGAAGTCAAGATGTAGGGAGGGATATGACATTTGTTTAGCTGTGTCTGTACAAGTTATGTTATCTGTACATAACTTGTTTTTTGTAAACTTTTAAGATAAAAACTTTTTAAGGGGCTGGAGTGTGATAACTAAGATGTTTTAAAATATTCTATTGTTTCTATTTTCTGGTGCCATTTTCTACTGACCTTTGGTTCAAATAGGAGTTTCAACAGTTGAAACTCCTTGATGAAACTCAGATCAAACATGACTAAATTTTGAACCAAGGAACCTCCAATATTCAGGCCAAGAACATTAAAGAACAATAAACCATCCCACAAGGCAAGTTGTTTGCCAGCACACCAAATTCCAGCACTAACATGAGGTCAAAAATATTATTACATGAACATCCATCATCATTCTTTCCCTTTAGGCTCGCCTGTTTTGAGTATCCAGTCAGTGGAAATTCACTAAAAAGTTCAAGATGCAAAAGGTTTTAACTAGTAATTTTTTGCACGCTGTTTTGAACTTGTGCAGCTAAAAGTGCAAATATATCCATCACAAGATCCGGTTTTGAGGTTTATTCGATTTTTGGACAATAATCAAATGGGCGTATAAAAAATCAGCGTGAAGCTAAACAGCTACATTGTACGACTTAGTGCAACCACTTTGAAAGTTCGAAACGCCAATGTTAAACAGATACAGTATTGAGTACATACAGTACGCCAATAAAACTAAGCCAAACCTGATAAATACGCTAAGAAAGTTATTAGCTTTAACTCCCAAGCGTGAGAAATAGCGCCATCTTACATATAAAAACAAAACGTGGTTTGTACATGCGTTAACCTCGGAATGAGTAACAAACAAACGATAAAACCTTTATTTACTGTACCCTATCACATAATCAAATTCAACAATTAGATCACACAAACAGCAAATTTAACATACCTGATTCGTTCAACAAAAGTACTGGTGTATCTTTTGATATAACGACAATAAATTTTGGAGATATAAAGTTAGCAAATCCTACATCGTGTCTCGCTTGTAAGGTGACGATAGAGGGCGTTGGTTTGTTTACTTCCGGGTGAGTGCCGAATGCCATAAACAACGAAGTGCTGAATGTGCGAAATTGATCTGGAGGTATTGATGACTGGACTGCCTGTTAAAAATCTTATGTCATCCGTTTTCCATAATATAAGTTAGTGGGAATAAAACATGTAAGTTCAGTTGCATTGCATTCTGTTAGAAATGAATTGAAGTTAATTTGAAGTACATGTATAAGTGGATGAAAAATGTACATGTACTCGAGTTGAAACGCGGAAATAATCCAGATTATTATTATTATACCTAATATCAAATTAATGACAAGCGTTTATCAGTAATTTTAGTTGTAATGTTTAATGTGACACTTGTTGGTGTTTTGTGCATTTTTATTACAACAATAAATTCAGTATACTAGACAAGTCTTTATTTATGAATTTTATTTTATTTTATTTATTTTTTTTTTCAGATTTTACCTGGAGGGTGTGGCAAAATGGAAACCGATGCTACAGCAGACAACACCAAACAAACAAACCCCCCTGAACAAGCGAAACATGAGTCCAATATTTTGGACTTGGCCTTTGCCATGGACTGCACTGGAAGTATGGGCTCATACATAAAGCAAGCCCAACAGGTAAAACAGTGAAGGGGTGGGGTCTTACATTTAGGGATATAAGCATGAAATTTATGCATTAGCAGGCATGTTCAAACATATAGGCCTAAGTACATACAGTGCATAGCAGAGATCGGAATTTTCATGCTACATGTAGTAGTAAATTTTTGGAATTAAAACACAGGCCAAGTCTTGCAGGATGAAGGACACTTGAGCAAAATGAGGGACTACCCTGAATAATCTGGGACATGGCAACTGTGATAATTGGGCCAAACAGTTTTACAAATAGCAATATTTCTACAAATAGAAACATAATAAATATCCCTTAAGACCTGCACAAAAGTCCTGTGTTAGCACTCCTATGGATGATTTCTGATATGTACACTGTTGTACATCTCAAATTTGTCAATAAGGAGTGCTAACGCATGAATTTTGTGCTACCCTTAAGACATGACACGAGTTGGGAATTCTGCTATATTTATGCATTTTTCCTACTTTTTCTATTTGTCAGTTTTTGCCTCTGTTATATTTTACATTAGAATATACGCAAGATAGTGGAAGACATCGTGGCAGCAGAAAAAGCTGATGTACATTTGGCACTGGTAGAGTATCGTGACCACCCACCTGAGGATACTTCTTTTGTCACCAAAGTTCAGGATTTTACACCCTCTGTCAGTGTCATGAAGAAATGTTTGGATGCTTGCAGTGCCCAAGGAGGTAAGAGGAAATTTATGATCAATAATTTCACATCAATTGCACAGGCATTTGACAGTGTTACCCCTAATACATTGCCTACCCTTTTGTTGTTGTCATGAATATACAGTTTGCCAGTATATTATCTCGTCAGATTGAAGGAAGGAATGTTGATAAATGTAGTGAGAATGGCAGGAAGAATGTTAATGATCATTCTATAAATCATCCATGTCTCATAGAATTATACAAAGTTAAAAGGTGCATATTTATGTGAAATACTAACCCACAGGTCCAAACAATTTGTAAAAAAGTATACTATAATTTCCTTTGGAAATGTCTCAGATGTGTGTGTGTGTGTGTGTGTGTGTGTGTCACAGGTCAGGTACCAATCTAGTCCACTTCCTTTAAATATTTATGCAATAATCTTTAAATTAGCCTCAGATGAATACAACTATATTTCATTTGACCCACCTGCAAGTATCACAATATATGGCTTGATCTATGACATACCCTATTTAATTACACGTGTCATACAAACAAACTGGTAGCTCACCTGTAAATTACTTGGCCAATTAACATCCTCATTAACAATGGAAAGACCCAATTGGTCTGGGCCAGTTAGGAAGTGGACTAGATTTTGGATTTGGCCTGTGATATATTTTTTTCCTGCAAAGCCTGTGATCTGCCCCAATTTGTATTTTAAAAAAGACAAAACCCCTCAATTAAGTGATGTCAATATTTTCTTGTGAAATGACAGGAAGACTATAATGATGAGTTATCATTTTTCATGATTCATTAAGCACTAAGTTATTTAATTAGAAATGGACAAGCAATGGTTCCTGAGCAGGAGAAAATAGATTTCTCTCTCAGGGAAAATTATATGTGAGACAAATATCCCACATGGGTTATTATAACCTTAATGTCAAAAACTTGTATAGTACTTACACTACAAAGGAACCCAGTGAACACTTAAAGCAAATGTCACACCTAACACAACTGGTATCACATCTAACGCATTTTCACTTGCTTCACCAGGTGGAGACACTCCTGAGGCAGTGGCTGATGCATTGCATCAAGTGTTAAAACTAAGTTGGCGTGAAGAGGCTACAAAAATCTGTGTCTTCATCGCTGATGCACCCCCACATGGTCTTTCTACATCCAAATTCAGTGATCATTTTCCAAAAGGTAAGACATTGCAGCAGCAGTGGACCTGCTTTGAAAGAGATGAGTTTATTAATAAGTTAACATATAGTTTTGAACTGTGCTCATTTTTTTAATCAGCTATAGATTTAGTGTACACCTAAATCTCATTTTGCTGACAGGTCTGTAATTTTTTATCTAAATCTATCTGTTATTTATTTTGTCTAATAATTAATAAAATCTCTCTTTCTCTCTCTCATTAATAAGATGTTTTTGTTTTATGCTCATTCATGTGTATTGGTGGTTTGTATGGCAAAAAGTATATGTATATAATAACTACTACATCTTTCCTCTCTTTCAGGTTGCCCAGATGGTCTGGATCCAATGGAAATCACTCACCAGATTGCAGAAAAGGGAATCACAATATACACAGTAGGCTGTGAACCAGCAGTAAACCAGTGTAAAGATTTCTTCATGGCAGTTGCCCACACTACAGGTGGACAGTATGTACCACTGAGGAATGCTGCTTTGCTAGCTCAGGTAGGCCAGGATAACTTTTTTTTACACAGCCAACAAAAGATATATTTTCTTGATTCTGGTTGCATTATAAGGTATTGTAAAGAAATTGCTCAACAGAGACAAGATTTGGTATAGATCGTCTTTCCTTTGGAGATCATTGAAGAAGCACAGGAACAACAGTATTATCAGTTAATCCATTGAATTCAATAGAATGGACATTGCATTATTCTAGGTAATAATTGGTGGAGCCCAGGAAGAGGTGACACTGCAAAGACACCTGGCAGAGGTGAATGAAGAGGTCCTGCAGGAAGCACAAGGAATGGAGGAATTAGATGATGAAGAAGTAGCTACTAAAGTACACCAGAAACTGCTAAGCAAAGGTAAGCACGCTACTTTTTTATGTACAGACACAGACGCAGGTCAAGTTCGAAAATTGGCTTGATTGGACTATTTTTACAAAAGTTATGCTGTTTTTTTTCCTTTATTCAGCATACATGCAACACTGATAACGCATTTTAAGGAAAACCAATCAGCCTTTTGTCTTGCAACTCACAGGAGTGATCAATCTGACCAGTATACAGATCAAGTTTGAAAATAAGCTTGATCAGCTAAGTTTTGATGAAGTTATTAGCCTTTTTGTATATAAGTGGTTTTGCTTCAGATTTAATTCTTATGCATGTTAACAGTCTCATTATGGAACTAATTAGATATGTAAAAGTGTTGTTTTGACATTTTCTGCTTCTTAACAATATTGTTAATTGATTATATAAAAATGATGGTAAACCGATTATCGTGCATTGTGTAATAAAGTATCAAAAATGGAAAGGAACTCATCATTGCAGTTCGTCAGATTCAATCATTCACTATGTTCAGAATCTCCGAATGGAGCAAATTGGACATTTAAAATTGTTCTACTGATATTTTTCCTATGTCAACAATTTTCCTAGTTGATCATTTAAAAGTGACAGTAAATTGATAATTTTGTTTTAGTAAAAAAGGTGTTGAAAATGGAAAGAAAATCATTTCAGTACAGTAATCTCTTGTGTACATTTTTGCATTTTGAAAGTGTGACTCTGAACTTCCATGGCCTTGGAGACCTTTCCATATCACATTTTCTGAATATCCATGATACTTTTTTTTTTATAAAAAACTTGATGGTCATTATGCTGTTTAGTTTTATGTTATATTGCATGAAAGTTGAAGAAAACCCTATTTTGGACACTGCTGCCAGGATAGCGATTAAGGGAAAACCATGTTACTTATGATACTCAAACTTACTGAAAAGTTTCATAAGACTGAAGTGCAGCTTGTGTTGGAAAACCAGTGTGATTGTTTTCTGTTTTGGAAGCAATGCAGTTCTGTAGAGTGCTATATGGTGCAATAAATGTCTATGGATAGCAGGCAGTATGTTAATTCAGGGTTATAAAGTAATTTGCTTAATTGATTTTCAAGTTATTTCAGGGTTATAAAGTAATTTGCTTAATTAATTTTCAAGTGGCCATTAAATGAGATTACATAAAACACACGTTGAGATTTCATTGTAAAGTCCCATGTAAAAGTTCACTTTTAATGATACTTCCTGTTGTGCAATATTTGCAACTTGACTTTGCAGTTAAAGGGATAATAAGTGTTCTTTTTGGCAAATAATTAATTTTTTTCCAAAAAGTTTTTTTTTGTTATAATCTCTTAAGAAATTATTACAAAGCGCCGCGCCATTTTCTCATCATGTGCGGGGGTATTTTGGTGAGATTTTTGCCTCGTGCGGCTGAGCAAAATTTCTCACATGTTTAATTTTTTTGGTCTCTTGAGGCAAATGTCTCAGTGTGTGCGGGGTGCAAGCGCCAATTGCTCACGCCATGCTAACAATGCGCATGTGCCAGTAGCCGGAAACAAACAAAAATGGCAGCCCCCAGCGAAGTAAACAAAAATGTACACAGTTATAGTTAGTCTGATTGATTAACGTGGTCACCATTTGCCATTACTTTCAGAAAAAAAATAAATATGTAATGTTTCCTTAATCACATAATCCCACAGTTCACGGTGCGTCCGATAGGGGCAGGCCGGGAGGCATCTCTGCTGAGCAAAGAGCGCATCGTTTGCGGGGAGCTGAGGAGCGCGAGCATCTTGCGCAGCGCAAGTGGCGCGCGCGGTATGCTCACCGTGTGCGGGCCCCTTTAAATTATATATATATATATATATATATATATATATATTTTTTTTTTTTTTTTTAGTTTAAGCAATTTTTTTTGGTGAAATTTTCACTTTATCTCATTCTGGCATTTCCAAAGTATGAACTTAAACTCTTATCAGCCTGAAGCCTTAGGGACCATTTCCAGACCCTATCACGCTAACTGTGGATCGTTCTATCTCCAAGTGAATTCTCGCTAAACTGCAATCAATGTAAGTGGCTTAGCTGTCTGTCACGCCTACTGAAACTGGCATGCCAGAATCTTAAGCTGCTTAAGCTGAAAGCAATTTAGTGAGAAACCCCTTGGAATTGGATTGATCCTGTTAGATTGATCTAGGTATGGGAACTAAGTCTAATGCTTGTTACACATTTTACTTTCATCCTAATCCACTGTTATGCAGAATTAGAATTTGATGTTGGCTATGCAGTTACAGTAAGCATAATACATCAGTGCATCAGAATTGACAGTGTCCTATTTTCAACATTTTTATTTTCTGGTTTTTGTCTGTACATTTGACAGCTTTGCTGCCTTGTTAATTAATACATTTCAGAATTCCAAATAAAAGTTAGTGTGAAGTAAAGAGTATTTGCGTTATTGTTTTAGATTCAAGTTATTTTTTTTAGTATTCCCGTGATAAAAATGTCCTTGTTAAAATACTTAATTAAAAATTGACAGACTTGATTCAGATAATATTAATCAAAACTAAAGATCTAATGTTTTGTAAAATATTTGATGGTATATTTTCTTTACTACATGGCTAAAATAATAATTTTTAGGAGCTAAGACCAAAAAACTGATGCGGAATCAAGCTGCCTTACCTGAAGCTTCTGGTGTGGCTAAGAAAATGTCAGCATTCAAGAACATGGCAGAAGTACAGGCTACGTATGATTCAGAGGTAGCGGTAACTGCTGCACCTGAATTTGAGGTGAAAAGGTCTGTATTTGGTGGCAAAATGAAAAAGAAGTCAAAGAAACCCATGCCCATGTCAGTGGATAGTCCTCCTCCACCTATGGCTATGGCAATGGTGAGTTTGATATTAACCAGGTGGTTCATCTTATGTGCTAAGTAATCTTTTAGGAAATTTTTTTCTTATTGTCACCTTAATTTGCAACCATCAAGTTATTTCAAAAATGCATTGTAAATGTGTAAATGTGCTAAATGAGGCCAGTATTAAACTAGTCCAAAAAGGCCTCAATAGCTCAAACTTTGGAAAGATTTGCCAAAGATTTGCCAAGTAGAAGGCCCCCCTGTAAGTTATCTGTCAGTTGTGTTGATGTATATGAATATGACCTATGTATATGATATGCTAATGTTATTGAATGGTTGATATTTCAGAGCAGTGCCCTAGATCATTACGAAGTTTCAGAAGGCAACATAGACTATGCACAGACAAAGCGTTTGGTCAGTAAATCCATGGCACAGAACAAAATAAAGAAAGCTAGTAAATTTTAGACAGATAACCAATAACATTTGTTAAAAATGTGCAGAAAATATGGTATTTGTTGCAACAGGCTAATGATAGGATACTGTTAAATGTTATTAGGTTATGTTGCATATTTTACATCTTAAATATGCACTGAATGTTAAGATTTAAAATTTCCTTCATTTTTTCAAATATTGATCACTTCTATATTTTTTAATTTAGAATTTACCAAACGTGGTACCATTCTTTTATGTATTATAATAATTTGTTTACACGACAGTTTGTGATAGTTTTGTTGTGATACATAATTTTTTTTTGTTTTAAATATGATTAAAATGCAATCTTTTAATACTCTGTGGGTGCAATTTTTATTTATGGAGATGCACTTTTAAAAAACATTCCAATTTTGTGAGTTAACCGTTTTAGAAAAACTATCTAACTTGTTGTCAGTCCAATTATACTATGCAAGGTGTTTAATTTTAGTTCAGTGTCAAGGACTAGTTGTGCCTTTAACATTTACAATTAAAAATGATTGCCAGTGTTCTAAATGGTTAGTAAAACAGGGTATATCAGATGATACTATGTGTGGATTTTTTTTCTATGGACAGAAAACAAGCAGTTGCTCTAAACACTTTTTACCACTGATAACCTGGAATCAGTGGCACAATCTCTTTTTCAAGCAGCAAAGAAACAACGTATTACTCCATATAATCATTTTATATGTGACAAGGAATAAAAAAGCTGGAATTTATGGAAACTGTATTTTTTGTCAATAAATCCATATGTATAATCTTCAGGATGCTTTCTATGAACATTGTTTAATCTTTTTTCAGCAGGTCAGGTAATATTCCTAATCTTATAAATTAATAAAAAAACTCAATGACAACAAAGCTTGTCTTTGTTTCTCTATATAAAAGAGAACTGCCCACAAACATGGCATGACAAATTTTTTCAATCATTTCACTGGTTGTTCAGTGTCAAGGACATTATGTCACTGATGGTGTCACATTCACATCAGTCTTTTGTTACAGTGACATTGTTTATGTCTGCCATGCTGAAATGATGACATCAAACTGCTGTTATTGAATCTGTATCAGTCTGGTTGTTTTGGTCCAGTGAAAGGATTTCTATACTGTTTATCCTTAGAAAACACAAATGATCTCGGGATACTGAAAAAGAAAGACTACTTCAGTCTTGCATTACTACTATAAATGAGAATATACATAATAATACAGATATGAATAATCTTCAGGTAAAAGATTACTTGCAGATATGTTTAGCACTGAAAGAACAAAGCCAATCAAGTGTTGCAGTAATTTGTATTCATTTAAACTATGTAAATTCATTGAAATCATGTTTTTCTTTCAACATTATTAATGCCAAAACAACCGAAGGAACAAATGTGTGAAGTTCACTGTTGACTGACTTACATTTAAGATTTCTATACTGCTTTCTTCTTTTAAATTTGAAGACTGGTTTCACAACATCTAGTGTTTTTTCAATCACTGTTGCCTCCACTCGAACCATGTTTAGACTACAAATGTGAAAATATATGACATTCATTTATTATAGTTTACTAGTATGTGCTTATCATGGCACAGTAAATGTAAGTAGAATCACATTTTTCATTTATTACTTTCCCCAAGGTTAATATTCATAATCTATCATCTTAATTTTAAGATGAAGAAACACTGGACTTGTATTTCTATGAACATAAAACAAACCTGAGTATTGGTCTTCCTATTAGTGTGAAGTTGTTGCCGCCAACCATCATGACCTACATGTGTAATAACAGAAATTGTGGTCAGAATTCTTCAACAAGTATATATACTGTTAGCTAAGCAATTAATATTAGGGTCACAAATTGGGTGTAATAAAGATTCAACTCAGAATGCATGTAGCTGTCACATTTGTAAGGGGCCATTTAGAATAGGAAACTAACTAGTCTAAGGGTCAAATATGGCTGACCTACTTGAATACTTCCCCAGGGGATATCTATTCAGTGTTTATTACAGATTAGACATCAAGCTTTGTAGTGGGTCACCATATTTGACCCCCGGACTACTTAGTCCCTATTCTGAATGGGGCCTAAGATTTTTGTGCAGAGATTTTAGCACATAATTCCTTGTAGTATGTTAACTCCTAATTCTTGTGAGTGAGTCAGATACTGAAATTCCACAATATAACATCCCAATACCCTGTGTAAAATAAATGATGAAGCATCTATACATGATCTTTAGTGTGACTATACCTTTTGCAAACGTATCCTGTCACCAACATTGGCTGTGATGTTTGAATTCATCACTAAAGTGTCCTCTGTAGTCACTTTCCTCTGTGTACCGAACAAGAACACCACAGCAAATAGGCGCCCTCTATTTAAGTTCTGCAGCTCGGTGTCTACCTGGTTAATAACAGCTGGAAACAAAACAGACACATGTGTACACAAAAACTCAATTCTGACAAAAATTAGCCAAAAACTATATTAAAATATCTTATCTTTTTACCTTTCTTAAAACAAACTGAATACATTACTATACAAAAAACTGTCTTTTACATTATGGACAGAAAATGTGAGAAAATGCATGCATTTATTTATTATATTTCACATTCATATTTAATACGGTAAGGATACAGTGGCAATTCAGATTGATTCATAGGATCATTTATATACAATTATCATAAGCTAGAAAATCCCATTACCTATGTCAGAGGGAAATTCTTCATCTTTCTGTTCAGTTTCATGAGGTTCTGCAGCAGTGCTGAACTCTTTATGGCTTAAAAGTGAACAAAAAAAATTTAACATGCATCATGTTTCTGAAAAGTAACTTTCCCAACATGAAATGTCCAAAACAGGCGTAAACAGACCATCCTTACACCACCCACTTACAAGATCCACTCAAAATAAAGAAATAATGACCTTTTAAGCAGAAATATTGGTTTATATTTTAGGCATATACTAGTACATGCCCACAGAGATAAAACAATAACAGCAACATAATGCCTTGCTGATGACACCAAACAGTCTATTTCATGGCATATTGTTGACTGATCTAGACTATGTAGAAGTTGATTTAGGTTTTAACTTCACCACTAAATTTTTAACATCATAATTAAAATGGCTGACCGAATGAGATAAAATTAGACATTTCAGTAACTGCATCATCATAGCAGAGGTAGCACAGTCTGTCATGCAATCTGATGTACAGTGCTGTGATCTTCATATAAGCAATATGAGATTCTGTGATATACCTACTATAATCATGTCAAAATATTGTTCTCTAGTGACATATTCATTGTTCAAGAACACATTTTAAGTGAATTAAGGCCAAAATGACAAGCACAATCTTGATCAGACACAACTTCTACACATTCCTCTTATGCACAAAGACATACACACAAACATGTCACACAATAATAAATGAAAGGATATTTTTGTTCAACTGAGGCTAGAACTTTAAAGATTTGTTCACTTGAGTAAAAATCACTGAGATGAACTTGGATTTAATGATAATGTTAGATTCATCCCATCCATAATGAACCCAGTGATAAATGATGGTCCAGAGGTGTTTTCTTTCTGATCTCGATGGTCCTTTCTATGATGGCCTTCTATGCATTTTTACCTCCTCAGTGTACACTAGGATTTTGTAGGAGCATATGTGTCCAGTCGAGCCATAAAATAAACTATATAAAATACTTACTTTAGTTTTGAATTAAGTAATGTTGATGCTTTTTCTCGGTGACAAGAGGATGTACTGTATTTACAATGTGCTGGGTGGACTGGAGCAACTTTATCTAAAGACAAAATATAACAAGAAAATTACTATTCTGTTATAATGTTACACTGTTGTGTTGCATTGACTCAGGAACTTTCATAGTACCAAATACATTAATCCGAGCTAAGGACCAAGTTGCCTCAGTTCAAGGCTTTAAATGCTACGCAGGTAAGGCCTTATAACAATCTGTGTTAGAAACTTTCACAACTATATGTGGCATCACAGTACAAATGGCACACAGATCTGCTAACACTACTGCATAGCTGGAATTACAATGTAGCATTAAATTCATGCCTTGGCACTTCCATTAACGATTTTGATATTATGATGTGCTAATGCATGAAAGCAGAGGCCTCAAAGAATGTAAAAGGAAGGCCAGTTTCCTAGCCAGCCACAGTGTCAGGGCTCTCAAATATATATATATATATATATATATATATATATATCTTATCTCTCAGCTCTGTTGATGAGAAAGCTAGTAGATCTTGCAGGAGTGTGAAAGCTGAAGGGATGAGATATAAAATAAAAATTTGAGAGCTCCTGTCCAGCCACTAGTGCAAAAACTGGTATCTATTTGACAATTTTGAGGACTTTGCTTTCATACTGTATGTTACCACAGTGTAGATATCAAAATCATCAATAGGAGTGTCAATGCGTGAATTTCGTGCTAGGCTAGAATAAACAGACAGAAAGTAAAACGTAACAAACTGGCTCATGAACCAATGAAAATTGACATTATTTTCGAATGATATGCTTCAATTAATGTGCGACGAACAACACAGAGATTCCTTAGGATCTGGATATATATAGCCCCGAGAGTTGGTAACACAGGGCGTTATAAGGCCTGACACCTGAGGGACCAAACCTGAGGCATCGGACCGACAAACCTAGCTAGGCAACGCAGAATAGAGCGTCTATTTCGAAAAACGCTTGGATTGAATAAACATTTACTGGTATAAAAGTCAAATCTAAAGGATAAACCATTCGCTTACATGCCATTTGACCAGCAACACTGCTTCCTGTAAGATTAAGACGCCCAAACTGTCGAGCGATCCGTAGAACGTGACTTGCACAGGAGGTTGACATCTTGGTATGTGCAAGCGCGAGTTACAAAAATTACAGTTACACTAAACTAAACGGATATATCAAATAGATACGTAGATGTAACAAGGAAAAGTGCGTTGTCCTACTCAAACGTAATATTTGTATTTGTTTGGTTTTGTCCTCTAACAAACAAAGATCAGTTAAATATATTTGTATAAGTGCTCTGTATCAACTTTCCACGTGCCTCGGTTTTCCAGTTTACAGACTCCAATATGCCGAAAAACAAACGAGAAAGGTCTCGTGTTGAAATTTTGATGAGAACCAGTCGGCAAAAAACTCAACATTGAGATTTTAATTCTTATACATTCTAATTATAAAACTAATTACTGGTAAACTTTGTCATTCTCCCCCTAAAATATCCAAAACGTCAAAAATGCGTGCCACCCGAACGTCTGTAGCAACCGAAAACGAGGTTTAAGTATACACAATTTCAATTTCACGCAAGAAACCCACCGTCACATTATCTCCAATATTGGAGTCACCCCAGATAGGTAGCCAGTTTCCCTGCGAAAGTTGGTAAGTGTTAATTGTTGGCAAAATTATACCATTTGAACAGAAAACGAGTCAAAGAAGTTACAAGGTGCAAGCTGACCTTGAAATTACAATGCACATGTACTTATGCATTTGATTTTAATTATCGATGTTCCTCTCATAGTCAGTATGTCATGAATTTGATCACTAAATGCTTTTCAAATGGGTAAGTTTTATAATTGTTTTTTGTTCCAAGGCTTCGTTTACTTGTATGTTCAGAGGTTTGCAACATATACATGTATGTTGATTGATAATTTGTATTTTCTAATGATAATTATATATAATATGTTATTTTTATATTATAAAAATTATTTTAATGAAGCCTTGAAACAATTTCCACTGGTTATGATGTTTCAGCCATGCAGTTTTTTTTTTTTTTTGTTTTTGTTTTTTTGTTTTAAGAAAATTGGTCGGTTTGTCATATTTTGCAGACAATGACCTTATGACTAGCACATCCACAGAACCAGACAACAGTTAAGTGTAATAGTGCTAGCTGTTATTATCCAGCAGTTACTGTTGTTGGTTCAGACAAATCCAATATTCAGTTATGTTATAACAATTTAACTGGAAGTGTTGTGCAGTTTTTGTGACCTGTAAAGAGCATGTCCTGACCTAGTTCCTGAGCACAGACAGTGCATATCAGAATAGGAGTGCTAACGCATGAATTTTCGTGCTAGTCCTGACCCTATGACTTTTACAACTATAACAATGTATACAGTCTGACCCACTTTTTAGATGTTGAAAAGTTCACAAAATACTAAGGTCATGTACAGTTTTGTCATTTAAGTTAAATATTTTTTGTGTTATGTTTTTTCAAAAGTCTAAACTTTGGAAAGTATACTTCAGTACCACCACCAGCCATAAAAAATTACACAAATGAGCGTAGGTCAATTTGTTGCTTTGCAAACCTCAGGAAAGTGCAATTGGACGAGGCTCAAAATTGCATTATTTACCTAACAAGGTTCAACAAAGTGTATGAATATAACTCTGTTTTCTCTAGACATATTTGACAGAATGCATGAGTAGGAATTTATAGAATGATGCTGATACATCAGCTGAACATCGGCATTTAGATTCCAGTTGTGCATTGTGGAGAAACTAATTAAATTTATGTGCTTTAATCCATTAAACGAGATATGATGAGGATGATATAACCTTTTTCTAAGGTTTGATGAAGCACATATATTTGCTACATATTCAGACATATTGTGCCACGTGGCTTATTACATGGTTACTGATGCAATGGTTGTTTGGTTCAGTGTGTTAATTGTGACAAAACTTGAATATCAGTTTTTATACCCCAGCAGATGTTGAAAGCAAATTATTTAGACATAATGTATCTTGGGTCTTTAGTGGTATTGTAGTAGAAATCGGTTATACCTGGCAATTAGCAAGGTGTGTTTGACAGCTTTTCATACTTCTCTTTCATGTATATCACAAATACATCTCACAAACTCCCAGCTGTCCTGTGGTGCATCTGTTACATATAGTAGTGAAAAAAATGAGTTAAAATCTATTGACATATATGTGATGCATTCTGTTTAATGTACTGAAAATTTGAATTTAAATATGCTGATAGATGCTGTATATAATCAAGTTTATTGTTTGGTTACTTTATTGGTCATATATATCAGTTAGTGTTTGTGTCTGCTCTCTAAGTCTGAGCTGACTTATTTAAAACTACAATTTCATAAACTGAGCTGACAGGATGTTGGTCTGACTTGCTATCATTTGTATTTATAAAGACAGGTATACGTAATTATAAAAGCAATGTATACACCTCGCTTAGCTTATAATTAAAAGTCAAAGCATGCGATATGATGTATAATAGGTAGGAAATAATTAGAGGCTCTTTGTTTGATGTTATGATCACAGAATGTGATATTTACTATTTCATGTTTACATTATAGGAAGTTTAGGTTCATTAAGGGAGGCCATGATAGTTAACAATCTAGATTTCAAAATTATGTCTGTCTGTAAATAGAATCTTTAACATTTTAAATCATCTCCAACTGAGGTAGACCAGATTAATTAAGACCTTATATATTTCAGTTGTTCTTTCTCTTAGATGAATCTGTAGCGAGGAACTCCTAATCATGGTGGCAGGGACTGTTGACAAACCGCTCACATTTGCGTAAGTTTAACTCACATAGAAAGGTTGGGAAGTGGTAATATCAGTAATGTTGGAATTTTGTGTGTGCATTTAATTACAACTTCTTTCTTGCACAATCCCAAGGATAGAGTCTACACACCATATTCTCAGTTATTGATGAAAAATAAAATTTTTAAACTTAAAACTCTGATTCATATGAAAAGAAAGCACATTTCCTATTTGAAATTAAAAATTAAATAAAATAGTTTGGTATGCATGTTATAATGAAACATGAATGTAAGAAGAGAATGGGGATGGTCTTTGATTTTGTATATAATTTGCAGGACTTGTGTTTTATTTCAGGGGCATTCCCAAGATTCTTAATGGTGCTATGGCTGGCCTTGTTGGGGTGACCTGTGTATTCCCAATTGATCTAGTTAAGACAAGGTTACAAAATCAACAAGTTGGGCCCAATGGAGAACTTATGTACAAGAACATGTGAGTGCACCTTAGACTTTTTCTTATTGCACCTTAAAATGATGAGTATGAACTGTTACTAAAGACATACAAATGTCATAAGATGTGAAACATTTCACATTTGAAGACTCTTTTTCAGTGAGTGATTCATAAAAATAAATTTTCTGATCAACTATGGCAATTATAAATTCTGTAAAATATTCCTGCTTTAATACTCAGTTTAAGGTGTGTACACTACTTGTATATTGGCAGTTAATACCACTTAGTCTTTTAAAAACTTCAGGCGTGATTGTTTTATAAAGACATGGAGGAACCAGCCGTACCTGGGGATGTACAGAGGTAGAGATGTTTTCTGATATGGTGTAGTAGGCACCAGGGGTAAATAAAAACTATGACCCTACATTTAACCTTAGTCACTGCTGTGCCTCTCTTCTAAAATATAGCAGTTCTAAAGAATTTCTGTATTTTGTATATACTGCACTTATAAGTCTTATTTGTTTATAATTTTTTAAATAAGTAGATTTTTGTCGTTTTTACAAAAATTTTTCTATAACAAATGCAAAAAATCAACATATTCATGATTTGACAAAAACTGGAAATTCTTTTTTTTTTTCACTGTTTTTCCCTGTATGTCTAGTGAAAATGACATTTTGTCAAATAAAATACAAAGTATGAACTGCTTCTTTAGGATGTGTGCAACGTTTCAGTGTAAAGTACATGAAGAGTTATGAAACACTTTGTTCACACTGACAATTTAAGGTCAGAATTGCACAATTTCAACTGTCTGATTACGCAGTTTAAGTTTTGATTTTTCTATGATCTGCATGCTTATTTTGTTAACATTTGCATAAGATATTTCTTGACAATTACAACTGTCTGACTCTATAGCAAAAGCATTATTTCTATTAAATAATATTTGTTGGATTTTCTTCCTTCAGGTGCTGGGGTTAACTTGTTGCTGATAACACCAGAGAAAGCTATCAAACTGGTGTGCAATGACTTCTTCAGACACCGAATGGGAGAGGGGACGTAAGTTAAAATAATATGCAACAAAAATAGCTATGCCCATTTCAAAATTACTGTGTTAAAAATTGTATAGAATCAGATGGCAATTTATATAAGAAAGAAGCATATCAGTTTGTATGTAAGCAGGATGGTTCTAATTTCAGTGGTCAGCTGACATTTTTTGGTGCATTAGTATCTGGTGCTGGTGCAGGGTTATGTCAGATTGTTGTTACAACTCCCATGGAACTCCTGAAAATACAGCAACAGGATGCGGGACGCATTAACACAGGAGCAGGTAGGAAAATTCTGAGTCGGTAACTGGGTTCATTGCTTGGAGAGTCTTGCCTTATGTTTTACCTTTTAAATCTGAAATAAAATTTTTAGATAGCCAAAATTTCAGCATAGTCTCATCTTATATGCTATCCACACCTAACATTTCTTTGTACTGGCACACTGCACATACTGTATAATCAAACTTGCTTCTCAGGAATGCAAATTCGATTTTCGATTTTGATGATTAGGAAATGCTGCAGCTGTCAATGCCAAAAGAATCACAGCTACACAAATGGCAAAGAAGCTAGTTGCTGAGAAGGGCCTGCCAGGGCTCTACAGAGGTTTCGGTTCTACGGCCCTCAGAGATGTACCATTCTCTGCCATTTATTTCCCTCTTTTTGGATACTTACAAAAGCTAGTAAGTTGCACAGAAGTATCGATATTATTTCTCCATCTGGATTACCAGACCCATTCCTGAGCTGCAGATTTTCTTAGATGATCTTGTTGCTTGTCAAGGTACTGCAGTCTGCTCAACATGACCTTTACTTCACCTAATAGGTACCTGTCCATCAACTTATGCTTCCATAGCAAAAAGGTCTTACCCTTTCTATATAATGTATTTGAGCACATCTAGCAGTATTCAGAAGCCAGTTATCATTGACCTTTTTAGTTTTCAGCAGTAGTGTAGAGAAATGAGCCGACCTGTTTTAATTGCTTGAAAAATGAAGTTAAGGGCATAAGATTTAGAATCTTGGGATATGTGATATTGCATGAATGTGTTCCTGTTTATTCAGTTTTATATGGCAGTAAAAAAGATAGATAGATAGATAGATAGATAGATATGCATAGCTTGCGATCATGCTGCAATAATACAGTTCCCATATTAAGTGATTCTTGTTTTGTGGTGTAGACTGTCTTCATTATATTATATCTTATTTCTGTTGTAAGCATCTATTTGGACCCGTTTGAATTCCCATGCTATTTTACAGGGGCCTGCTAGAAAGGATGGAAAGCCTGGCACTGTATTTTGGTTCAACTGTTTGTCTGGGATAGTGGCAGGATCTGTTGGATCTTTTGCAGTCAATCCCATTGATGGTATGTGAAGTCTGTATTGAGCTAAATTTAACACATTTTAAGGTGAAGTAGGTAGCACAGGAACAAAATGTTGTGACTTGATATGAGAACCAGGTCAACCATACTATCTCTGGTGTTTTAAGCCTCTAAATTCTACAAAATATAATTTATCTAAGTATAAGAACTTTTTGTCATATTTATCATTATACTTTATTATATTTAATATTATTGAAGATTCTTACAATAACTAAAAAGTATTTTGGTGTACACCAAGCCAATGTTTGTTTAAAAGTTCCGATTTTAAAGAGATTACAAATTATATCATAATTGTAGCATTGCCTTGCTTTCAAAAAATTTAAACTCGGTCAAAACACGTCAGAAGAATATAAACATTTCATATCAGCTGATTTCATCTATATATATTCATAAGAATATACTCACAGCATAACCTGCAATTAAACTTCCTATGATTTTTGATGCATTTCTCAATATTATTTTCAATCTGTCAAATGGAGCATTTTGTTTATCAAGAGTGGGGGACAGGTGGGAAATTCCCTTAGACCCACACATTACACTATACAATAATCATGCAAAGGGAATCCCCTTACAATAAAGGCAAAATAAATGTTATTCTGAGCAAAGTCCCTTTTAATACATACAATCAACAGAACATTTCCAATACATTTCAGAATGACACCAGAAAGCAAATTTCTCAATTTTGAAATCAATCAGACGGTAAACACAGGCAGGCTTTGTCAATTTCTACCTTTTGTTTATTTCAAACATCGTGCTTTTCGTGCATGCGCAGTCATTTGTATCCTGTGCTGAAGCAGGTAGGTAAGGAGTGGAGAAAACCTCTGAATCTGACCTTAAATCTGAAATCCAAATACTGCGTACTAACACATGTACTTGGTCAATTCTTATGAGTCGGAAAACACATGAGTGCAAGGAACAGAGCAAAGCACAAACTATTTGCTTGAATCATGGTTTAAGTCAGATAAAGCACTCTTCATGAAGCTTTTTGCAAAACAGAACAGATAATTGTCTCATCTCATTTTGCCTGTCAACTCTTTATTTCATGTAAAAAATCCCCAACTAGTATTTTTTCTTTTACAAAATGCACTTTTTTTTGCTCTTTTTTAAGTTACGCTCAGCAGCCAGTCCTTTATCTACTACCAAATATGCTTATCTATTTTTTTGTCTCACCAGTTGTCCTCTTAATTTCACTTAAAGCTCTGCAGCTTGTACTTTATTTATTACAAATTGCATTTATCTATAAAATGCCATAATTAGAACCATTTTGTGCTTAGTGTCTGTTTATATGTCTGTTTTAGTTCAATTTTGTTATTCTATATTGATAGTGCTTTAGTTGTATTCGATTTTAACCTTATATGATTAAGAAATTGTCCAGCTTTACTATTTCCAAGTTGTATTTTATATTTCTTACAGTCGTGAAAACCCGGTTACAGACGATAGAAAAAGGAAAAACGGAAGCTTCATACTCAGGAATAAGGGATTGTTTTGTGTAAGTTTTAAGTAGAAAGTATCTTAGACAACCATAAGTAAAAATGTGTTAAAATGCACCAAAATCTTTTCTTGTATTGAAATGGCCATGGTAGTTTGGGTAGAATAGTATACATGTAAGTGGTATCTGGACAATTCTTCTCCCAGACAATCCCCCCCATTTATAATGAATACCATACTGAGAATGAACAATGTGATATTGGGGATAAAATGTATGTATCCCAGGTAAAGGCAGGTAAATGGGTAATCTCACTCATTCAGGTATCCCTTTGATGAAATAACAAGGGGGAATTGTCCTAGAATCAGTATAAGTGTATTTTAAACTTTTTTCTCCTTGTTCCAGCAAAACCTACCAAATGGAAGGAATGCCAGCTTTTTTCAAAGGTGCAAGCTGTAGGATTCTGGTCATTGCTCCTCTCTTTGGAATAGCTCAAACTTTTTACGAACTTGGTGTAGCAGAAAGAATCTTGGGATATGACAGATAAAGTGTATTTAATCTGCTGAATGGACACATTTATTAAAGTGAATTTTAATCAATTATTTGATGAAATTTATGCATCAGTTACTTAGTATTTTATGTCTGCCAAGGTTAAGCAAGCTTTTTGTTCAATGAACCACATTGCCCTGTGGCAGCTAGTCAATTATTTGCTCTTCATAGAGTTATTGAATTATTGAAATGAACACAATTACTACAAAAAAAGAATTTTTTGAATTCTTTAATGCTCCAGTTAATATTCTAGTCTAACCGACTTCCAAGGTTGAACAAATTCAGGATTCTTCCATTAACTGCTCTTTTATAGCTTGTCATTTTTTTGCACAAGATTGCACTTTTAGCATCGAGTGTACTAACAGAATCACAGAAATAAAGCAACACAGCATAAAGTATCATTGTTGATTGTTTATAATAAGAATCTATAATATCCAAACAAGGCTAAGGGCAGTTTGTTTTAACAGTTTTCAATTCAATTTTCTAGGTAGTGGATTTTCGTCTTTACATTGTATTAAATTGCCCCTGTAGATTGTCATGTAATATGTCTCCCACATCTGTTATCAACCAAAAATATTTAATCAACCACAAAAACATAGCCATCTTTCTACTTGGCCAGCACATGGCAAACATTAAATGAACACAACCCTTGTTTTATCAATTTTATTGCCATCACCTTTAAGCATTACGATACTAAGAAAATGCTCATCTAGAAACACCATTACTGACATAAATATGAATACAGGTATATACACACTCTCCTGCTGCACCTTTATTTATTTATTTATTTATTATCATTAAATTGTCCATGATACCGTTGATTTGCTAATGTATCCATCAATGTACAAAGTGACATAAACACCTTTATATACATATGGAAGTTCTACAATTCTAACATCATAATCTGAACATGCAATTTCTTGCCTTTTTTTCACAAACTTGGTTAACTTTCTAATCCACTGAGAACAATCTGGAACAAAGAAAACGGGCATATAAGCAAAACACTGAATGATATTGAGCAAATTAATTTCATAAAATAATTAAAAGAGTTCTATTTCAGCATAAACTTTAGACTAAATATAACTTACAACAATTTATCATAAAGTTATCAGTTGACAAAAAAAAAAAGATGAATCAAAATATACATTTAATAAAATACCAAAACCTTAAATACCAGTATTAAGTTCTCTGCCAATTCTTCAATTAATCCATGAACTTTCTGTTCACATTTATACCAAACAGAGTTGTTCTTATCTCTGGGAGAATCTGAATTAAAAATGATTTTTATTTGAAGCTATCGAGGTCAAACTTTGGGGTAAAAAATTACTACTATAAAACATTTTGACACCATTTTTAAATTTCCCATTCACCAAATTTCACTCAAATTTATTCAATACACTTTCCAAATATCATTTCAAGAACATTTATTTAAATTTATTTGGCACTAAAAGAAAAATCCTCATCACTATTCTTGTTGTATGATATGAAATTTCAATGTATCAATTATAAGTTAATAAAATTATTTACAAAATTCCAAAATAAAATGATAAGCATCACACAGCACGTATGAATGTTATGTAAAATTTACTGGAACTTTTTTTTGTAAAAGTGATGTTTAGGGAGGTAATGCTTACAAAATATATTGAACTTGTATTATAAATACACTTAAAATGAAGAAAAAGGTCCCATATGTTTACCTGTTGTGAGATCATTTCCAGCCTACTCTCCAATGTGTTAACTACCTTGATCTTCCCCTTCTGTGCATGAACCTCAATGCCACCAGACCTACAAACACCAAGACATACAACTAAAAGTTACAAAAAAATTCTTACCACAATACTATACAACAAAATGACTTTAACAACACATCTGGTCCTGCTAGTTTTCAATTCACTTAGTGACAATTATTAATTTAACCACAGTGTACTTTTATGGAGCGTTTGGATAAACCCATTGTACTAGCTGGATCGATCCAACTCTGAGGGGTATCTCCCCAAGTGCAATCACGGCAAGCGACTTAAAAGACTGACACACCTTCCTCTACTTGCTAAGGGGTAATTAACTAATTAGGAAGCTACTAAAGGAGGCTTGTCAGACAATTAAGCTGATTACACTGAATGCACTTAAGCACGAATCCCCCACAGAATTTTATCAAACGCAATCTTAGGATATACATACACATTTGATCCAAGAAAATCACTTTCATCTACAGTGACTTTGACATCCTGTTTGGCTATGTCCTTGTAAACTTTGACGGCATCTGGAACTACCTCCTGCAACAATGACAGTAACACTCTTTATACAAGTGCATTTATATATAATTCACTTATGGCAGATCCAGAGGGTACACATCTGTTTATCCAAAAACTATATAACAAGTGAAACAAGACACACCCCCCCAAACAAGCCATTTTTTCCATCTTCTAGTTCTTCACCTGATATGTTTTGAATTTGACACTCAGATCAAGGCAAAATCTTTTCATTCTTGCCCCCCCTCCCCTTAGCAAAATCCTAGGTCCATCAGAGTTTACACCCAGAGTTCATTTACTGAAAATTTCAGTAAGTTGCCCATGTATAACATAGGCCATCTGTAGTCTGAAGAGGCCATCCAATGACTGCTCACTGGTTAAACCCTTGTCTGTAATTATACCTTCACAAGGCTCGAGTCCTCCTTCCTACATTTTAGAACAACTTCTTTTTCCATCAGCTGTAACAGACCCTGTAGCAATGAAAAAGTAATAGTTTCATCATATGCAGTTTTAAAGTATACTGCATTTTCAATACAAAAAAATAAGATTTATGCATTGAAAACGTCTGATAAAAAAAAGCATTATAGAAAACCAAAATAAATTGTCATCACAGAAAACCTACCTGTGCAATCAAACCCTCCAGGACTTTTTTGTATTTTCCTTTATCTTGTGTAATCTTTCCTAATCTTTGGGTAGCCTCTTCTAGCAAATTCTAAAACACAATAAATTTAATTACAAAGTCTAAAAATATTTTGTTTTAAGTATTACACTGAAAAATACCATGAAATGTCAGACAAAAAAATTAATTAATTTCTTGATGCTGTTACTGGATAGGAGTTCTCAAAACCTCACCTTGACATGGTCTTCTCTGCATTTTAAAACTTGAAGACGAGCTGCATTCAGGAGATTGGAGTTTTGACTGAAACAGAAATAAGTTGTCAGATTTATCATTACAAATAGTGTTGTACTAGACAGTACAGGGAAGTTGGCACTGTTATTCTTTTAGCTGTGAATGAATTTTTGCAGCATATGATGCATTGTCACATTACAATATATATCTTATTCACATCCTTTGACAGAAGTATATTTTATAGTCACTAAGTCTAATATTTGATATTAGTTGATAATGATTAAGTTAATCTAATAATAACAGATTTTAATGCTTACATTTTCTTTTGTAATTCTACTTGTTTTTCTTTTCTCTCATAGAATTCCATAATTTTAACACGCTGCTGTTGTACAAGTCTGCCTTTTTCAATGTTGAATTCTTCCTCCGCCTGAAATGGACATAAACATTTAAAACTTATTAACAATTATGACATTAAAACATACTAGTATTTCACTGCAAAGGAGTTTCATTTTCTATAACACAATCATTTTAACCAATTCCACAGCTTGGTTAAAAATCAACAAACAAAGCAACCTCATATTCTTGTTGTAACTATTTTTTAATCTTAGGCAATTACTGGTAAAAATATCAAAAATGGCAAAATAATCCTATATGAAAAACAGTTCCATGATGACAGAAATACTTACTTTAGCATCAATTTCCTCTGCTTTTTCATTAGCCTCTTGTTCTATAAAGGCCATCATATGTTTGATCTGCAATGATAACAGTCATATACACTGTATCAATATACAGATGCACTCATGGTACCAAAATCCAAATCATCATAATCATTAAATTAATGACATACGGATTGAAAAAAAAAAAAAACAAACTAAAATGTGGAGCTAATGGTAAAAAATTTCTTTTGACATAATTTTCAAGCTTAACTCATAAAAATATTTAAAGCTAAACTTGAATTCTGAAAAAATAATAGTACTGTACTGAATAAAAATATTATAAATTGTGGAAAATGTGGCGATAAATTGGTCATTCAGAAGGCAGAATTTACGATAAATTTCTGCATAGAGAGTAACCTCATCAGAGTTTATATTACAGAAGATGAACTATGAAATCATTTATGAGTCTCTACAAAATATATTCAGATTTTTCACATGATCTTTTCGATCGATTGGATGACAGACCAACGTTTTAACTTGTGCTACAACTTACAAGTTGTAGAGTAAATACACTAAATCTACATACTGTTTACTAATCAGAGCATCACCCTTACCTGTTTTTGAACATCTGCATCACTGAGAGCCATTTTGCTGCTTATTTGTTCTTTCCAGAGTATTAAATATCGGAGAAAATTGCAGATCCCTTTCCCAAGATGTCAAGGCTGTGTGACTCTCATGTGACCGGCTGACCCTGGTGAGCTCAAACGCGCGTTGCAACCTTGACCTAAACATTACAATCTCTCCTACCACAATGCACTTTCTACTCACCACTATTTGGTTGTGTTATGACTAGCCCTAGTGTCCTAAATATCATCGCCATCACTGGGTGCCATCCACTCTCAGCAAGTTGGCTGTCATGGATCATGCCTCTCAATCTTCTGCCATTCGTATACTTTCACCATATTTTTTTTTTTACTTTGGTCCATTTTTTCTATGTTGTCCATCCATGTTGTGCTTGGTTTTCCTTTCCCGTTTTCCATGTAACTTTCCTTCGAATAGCAATCGCCGCATATTATCTTTTCTTATAATGCGACCAAACTAAGATAACTTTCTTTTCTTGGTGTTCAATAAAGATCCATTTTAGGATTATTTAGCATCACTTTTGTCTAGTCCATGATATAGAGTTGTAGTTGTATACAACAGACTATTTTTTACTTTTTCTGTTAGGTAAAAAACAGCAATGAAAACAATTCAAAACATAATTTTTCACATTTTTATTTAGTAACAATAATGCTCCTTGACTTCATATCAGTAACCCATGTGCTTCCTTTGTACAATATATACAGAAGATTTGTTACAGAAAAAAAGCCCTCAGCAGTTCCCAACACTTGTAATGTAAATGGACTTCTCTTGGGTGAAACCCCATAGGTATGTAAGCATAAAAGCATGGAGCACATTTGCCTTCACAAGTGCAAGCCATTGCTTTAGATGCCAACCCTACAGGTCCTAGTTTGAGAATGTAGAGATTATGTACAAAGTTCTAAGGAGAAAATGATACAATGACATGGTTATTCACAAGATGGAGTAACAAACATGATTTATGTACATGTGGAGACAATAACTATGTGGCTTTCAACTTCTCATGTCGACAACTCTTTTACACAATATGTTAAAGAATAAATCACAACTCTCCTGTTATACATTCATTTTACCTCTCATTTCATTCTTTCTTGAAAACAGATTCCAGCTACACATAAAATGTCAGTTCTGTAAAAAAATCTTTTTTCAAGTTAAATAAAATTAAACAAGCATATATTTAAATAAATGCATAAAATAATTAAGATTTACATGAACATAAGAATATGGCAAACATTTTATTGCAACATATTATGCAAATCAGTATTATGTAGTATATTTTCATTTGACACTTTTTTTTGTTTGCTCAATCTACCGACTAGCAGCATAAATACCCAAACCCTGATCACCATCTGTACATTTCACCAATGACCTTCATATGAACAAGGGTCACTCATATAGGTCATCTGTTCACCTGCTGTACAATACAGATACTTGTATATGATAGACTAAAGTGATAATCTCTTTACCCATTAAATCACCATTTTATTTCCAACAAATGCAGAGTCAGAATCAACTGGATCATAGTCCTGCTTAATTTGTCAGAGCGAGTACTGTAACCATTAGGATAATTGTTGCTTGCTCATTCACTTTAATTTTACATATATTTTTCAAGAATAATTACTGTTCAACTTGGGCATTTTTGGTTATAAATTAGTAACAGAAAGAATTGCTGTCCACCTGCCAGTATGGGTATACAGTGTGACATGTCATGATTTAGCTGCTGAGATTTTCCACTGTCATGCCAGATTCATTATTTTGTCTGTTTCTGCAAAAGATTGTAGAATGTGCTTGTAGTATTTGCCTGCATCAACTTAACAGTGATGATATTCATCACAAACAGTGATGACATACATCACAAAAAGTGATGACATGTACCACAGACAGTGATGACATTCATCACAGTGACTCTATCACAGCAACAGCTCATTATATGAGAATACAATACCCTTAGAAAGAGTGCCATGCTCCTAGGTTTACTTAAATTAAGGCACTGTGTACATATATAAAATTGTCATGGGACTAACAAAGTTCCACTGCAGCTTGGTTCCCTGTGTGGATGCGACCTTCTCCTTCTCTCCCCACCTAAATGGCATCAAACATACACAGGAGAGTTGGTCTCAGGATCAAACATTTTCACTGCATATGGATGTCCACCATCATCAAAGAACCTTCTGAAGGTGAACTCGAAAAATGCATGTTCTGGATGTTTCCCGTTGTCATATCCAAACTCTGCCTCACCTTCACCGCTTTTGTTTAATTTGTCGGGCTCAACCTCATCAAAGTTGGACGTGTCTGTGGCATAGCGGATCTTAGGCGTGTACGGCGCTGGCTGCCTCCTCATGTTGACGAAATTGATGGAAGAAAAGAAAGGATGATTCTTGATTTCCTCAGCCCCATTCTTGCCCAGTCTGGTGTCTGCTCCAGCACAGAGCATAACAATGAGATCCGATGCCTCCGGTGATAACCTGGCCTCTTTAGGTATACTGAGACATGTTTTCCAATTTATCACCTGAATCATAAAGAAGAAAAGCATAAGAAATCAGGAAAACAATTTTTCTTTGAAACCATTCAGCAAAACAATCTTCATGAACACAATGAAAAATTGCCGTGAGAATGTTTTCTATGAAGTTGAGTATAAAAAGCTGATACTCATTCAAACAGATTATGAAACAGAATGACATTTGTCATACTATCCTCTATATACAGCTATATAAAAGTTCAATTCATCAAATAGGATACCAAGTACAATCCGAAGAAAGAGAATTCAGTACAGTGTGATAGTGCATTTCATGTAACCCTACATAACTAATGTCAGTATGCTTACCTTCATCTGAGTCTCTGCTGGTGTATTTGCAAGGAATGGTGGCTGCCCCACCAGCATTTCATATAGTATTACCCCCACAGACCACCAATCACAACACGAGCTGTAGCCTGAAACATAAGAAAGTTTACAATATACATTCACAGGTCACTTGTTAAAACAATGGATTAAGTTGGATAAAAAGTTTTGTAAGCATTACACGCGCACACTAGTTTTATAGCAACAATTTATATTAGAAACTAATGTACATAAGGACTGTGTAGAGTAAATGAACAATTTTTTATGCATTGCACTGTGTGTTGGGATAACGCATGTATGCTTTTCCCCCCTCTCACTATTTCACTAATCTATAGATGCTTGACAAAAAACAATCACACAGGCTATTCAGAATAGAGCTAAATTTTATGGTTCAAGAGGTACAATAACCAGCAGGTTTTTTATCAAGACAAAAATCAAATTTTTTTATGTTATTCATTCCAGACATTTACATTGTTTGAGTCTCTTGAGTATAATTAAGTCAGATCAAAGTAAGAATCCACCCACATACTCAGCTTCAGACAGTGAACCTCTTAACATCCATTGTTGACTGCTTATTCAACTTATTCAACTAAGAAACACAACAAGATAGATTATATAGAACACGTTTCCACTGGTGCATCTACCAAATGTCTTTTGTTTCGAGCAACTCAAACTGACAGCAAATACAGACCAATGATATGGTGTGAGAATATAACATTGAAATTTTTATCCCAAAGTAGAAAAGCATTTCACTTATTTTATTATTTATGATCCACATGCTGTAAAAAGGAAAATCATATGGAACATGCATAAATGACGTTTTGGATCAAAAGTTGCCAAATTGAAAAATGTAGTAGGCCTTTTCATTCATATTACTTTGGAATCCAGATATTCAGGTAGGCAAGCTATAATGAAATGCTATGACCTCCAAAGCACTTCAACTATGCACACCAATGCCAAATGCTTCACTTCTCCTCATTATATGTAGCTCTACCTTAGCCTGGTTAAGGCAACATTTACAATGCTTAGACATTAAACTTTCAGTTTTTGCTACTGCTCAATTGTAACCACCTAATGTGCTGTAAAAAATTAATAGTTTGAAGAAAACACCTATGGACAAGTTCACTGATACCCAATCATTCATTCTTGGGTCCAGATTCCTAAGACTCTTGTTCTGCCTTATTCAATTCCAAGTGAAAAGGTCAAAATGGGAAAAATTTGCAATGAAAACATCACCTGTTTCTTAGGCTATGGTATCTATGCCTTATCCCATACATCCCTTCACATTATCGAGATATATACCCAATGATACAAATCCAGTCTCAGCGAAAACCTTTTTTTTTTAGTACACAAGCAAATGTAACAGTGGCCTGAAGGACTCTTCATCTACTTAGGTTAAAAATGTCACAGTCACACAGTAGCATGCCTCTTAAGTGATGCGCACACTTATAGATACATTGTAGACTTCTTTATGACAACTAGTGACGTGATTCAGATAGGAATTTTGACCCTGCAGATAATGAGTGTAATTTGTGGTGAGACAACAGTCATACAGACTGGCCACATTCAGACATGCTGTCTGCAGTAAGATATTATATACAGACAGAATATGGCAGAAAAAATTGCTAGCTTCACTAGGAAGGCTCATACACAGACAAAATACAGAGAGACCTGCTGACTGCAGTGAGAGATTCCTGTATTCAGCTGTTTTCAGAGCTCACATGTATAACTCAAGCCACACATTAGTCAGATTCCAGCTCACACAAACAACATAGCTCTATTTAGCACAGCCCAACAAATCATAAATAACAGCAGCAGCAAAATTGGACCAGACACATCTTTCATCATCAGCTCACTCGAGTAGGTAATGATCTGGTGTAATGGCAATGACCACGAATAAAATGATGGAGGATTTAGCATACCTCCCCCCCCCCACCAACACACACACACACACACACACACACACACACACACACACACACACACACACACACACACACTTTTCATCAAGTGTAGTTAAAAGTCTTACAAAATGAAACGCTGCTATGAGATAATTGCAGGTTTTAAGTTTGTGGTTTGAAGAGAGCAGATTCATGAAATTATTACTTTAAATTCAAAAAAAGACATTTCATTGTTTAAAAAGTAAAACCTCTGTCACTTGGGTAAATCCCACCATACCCCTTTTTTCCATAATGAATGCCACACTTAATGCACACCTCTTATTTCGTTTATCAGATCCCCAAATAACTTACCTGATCTTAGCAAGACTTCTGGTGCAATGTAGTTTGGTGTCCCGACCAGCGAGTGTGCCAAACAACGTTGATGGTCCCTTCTCTTCCGCCTTTCCAGCGGCTTCAGAATCTCCATCTCTGCTTTACTATCACAGTCACAGCCACTGATACCCCATGCCTCATCTGCTATCATGGAATCTTGCCTAGCATGGCCATCTAAAACATTGAACAATACCAAGTGAATATTGATATCATTAATGTAGCTGCCATTCACTCTGATAACTTAAAAGATATTGGTCAGAAATACAACATTATATTGTGCAGTTCATATATAAGATCACCATTCAGAGCTTTTCAAAATGTTTCAATATTTCATAACAACAACACAGGTTTTTTTGTATAACACCAATGATGACCGGGTATTCGTGTCTGAACTTATGATGCATATGGCCAAGAAAAGCGCATACTTGCTCTTTGTTCTTTCCTTCTCATCAGATTTTCAGATTCAGATCCACTTTCTAAAAGCTTTCACATTATCAAATCTTCCAATTCAAGTCCATTTCCATGACAAAAGAGAGCTTCTGTCAACTTTTCAGTTATTTCCGGCCAATTGTAGTTTGTTAGTATTGTTATTGTAAATAAGGTTCAGGTTTCAGTTTTCAAAGCTATGGTCACAGGTACATCTTTTATGGCGCTGAGCACAGCAACATGATAGCTTCAGCTCCACAGCTATTTACTCAGGTGGCAACCTTCCAACTGATCCACTGGTAAACAGCTACACGCAACATGAATTTCAATGATGTGTGTGCTTTTTAAAAGGCTTTTGCCATAGAGATCACTTTACAAACACAAAATGCCTGGCATTTGCACAATAATCGGCACTGAGCTAGTCAACATTTTTTGGTTATTACCTATGAAGATAACAGTACAGAGGAGAGAACAGAATTTTGGGAGGCTAGAGAGCCTATGTAATGGTTCGATGGCAAACAAAAGGATGACACCGTGACCAAAGCTGAACAGAAAACCAATTTCGATTAAAATTCAAATGGGAAGATTCAATAAAGAGAACTGTAGAACTGAACTGTATTGACACTTTTGTAAATCTGTTTATTATATATCTTAACAAACAATGAGGGATAAAAGAGAAGACCTACCTTTTTGATAGTATTTGGAATTGTGTGTCCACCTGAACCCTGTGCATAAGCCAAAGTCTGTGAGTTTAATGTGTCCATCTCTGTCTATGAGAATATTGTCTGGTTTAATATCTCTGTGAATGAAGCCCATTTTATGCACACTTTCTATGGCCAGCACCAATTCAGCAATATAGAAACATGCCAGAGGCTCCTGGAAGATCCCAAACTTTATGAGCAGACTCATCATGTCACCACCAGGGATGTAATCCATTACAAAATACAAATTGTCTGTGTCTTGGAAGGAGTAGTACAGTTTTACCACCCACTCATTGTCAGCTTCAGCCAAGATGTCACGCTCAGCTTTCACATGAGCAACCTGGTTGCGTCTCAACACGTCGCTCTTTCTGAGCGTTTTCATGGCATACAGTTGGCCAGTATCCCTCTTACGTGTCAAAGCAACTTCACCAAAAGCCCCAATGCCTAAAGTTTTTAGCTTTTCAAACATGTTTTTGTTCATCTTTGCTCTTTTCAAGCGTATGTAATTCGATTCCTTTTGATTTAACATTCTCCTCATTTGACACTGTGCCTGTTCAGTCAGTCCCACCTTGGCCATTTCACGTTCTAATTGTACTCTGCGATTTATCCTCTGTTGCGTGGACTTCAATAAGTTTTCCACATGTTGCTCCATGTAAAATTTAAATGCCTGAGGAGAGTAATTGCGTACAATGGTCTCCCTCCTCTCATCATCTTTTTTCTGTGCATCTGGATTGCGTTCGGGGATGGGCGACATGCAGCGTGTCTTTCCCTCTGTGCTAGCAGTGTCCTCCGACTGATCTGAACTTTCTTCCAGTTCAAGCTCTGAATCCTCTTGCTGCAGCATTTGTTGCTGTTGAAATTGTTGCTGTTGTTGCTGCTGATGTTGTTGTTGATACTGTTGCTGCATTTGATGCAGTTGTATTTGCTGTATTTTTTGCAGCTGAGCTTGTTGTTGCTGGTTTTGTTGCTGCATCCAGGTTGTATGTCCAGGATATGGAGGTGGGGGTCGGTCAGGTACATCAGAATTTGTTGATGGGGTTGATATTGTTGAAATCATAGAGAGTGGAGAGTGGTTATTATTAGTCCTGCTCTGAATAGGAGAGTCTGAGCGTGAAGGTGTGGAGGAAGGGGTTTCTGGAGATATCACCCTCTGATAATACAGTTCCATTCCTGGCGGGATATTCTGAAGACCCATCTGCTGCAGCTGTTGTTGTAGGTTGGGCAACTGTCCTGGCTGCTGGGCTGGTTTACGCAGCTGACTCTGCTGTACGCCTTTCATAGGCTCTGACTGTATGTTAGTGTTAATTTGAGTGTGTACTGCTGTGGTGTATGTACCCTGGGGTGCTGACCCCTGGGATGTAGGCCCCTGAGAGGGAGAAACAGGGGCTGTTGCTGTCTGTAACACTGGCTTTTGCACTTCTCGACTTTTGACTGACTGCATAAAGATTGGTGCCTGTTTGGCCCCCCATGCTTGCATGGGCACAGGTTTAGGGATCTGGGGGGCCTTGGAGACTGAGGTAGGGGTCTGAGCACCAGAGCTAGGGGTACTACTGCCAGAGCTGGGCTCATAACTTTGTCTACTACTGCTGCTGTTATACTCTGGCAGAGTCTGCTCGCCAGGAACTTGTTGACCCAAACCAGGGATGGGACTTTGTCTACTGTTAGGCTGAGCTGGGCTAGTATATGGAGGGGGTGGCGCTGTATATTTAGTCTTGATCCCAGCACCACTACTGTATGCCCCCATTCCATTGTTCTGCTGACTACTTCCCAGATTAAGCCCTTGAAATTGTCTATTCAACTCCACCACCTGTTGCTGTGACAGCACCGGTTGTTGTCTGTTTACTGTCATAGGACTCATTCCCCTGGGGGGTGTTACAGGGCCATTGCTCTGCCCCTGCACTGGCCTCATGTTAGTGGGGGTAGGGTGGCTCATTAATTTTATCATTTGTTGAACATGTCCAGGTGCGGCATATTGTTGTGACTGCAGATCAATGTCCTGTTGATGGAGTTGTTGCAACTGTTGCTGTTGCTGCTGTTGCTGAGCTGCTCTGAACTCAGCCCCTTTTGGGGGTGGAGGAGGTGGCAAACTCCCAGAGGTGGGTGGTGGAGGGGGTGGGGCCCTGTGCGTCCGAGGTGGTATTGGTGGTGGGGGTGTCTCCCTGCCGTTGTTGTATGTGTGGCCATTGGACACAGAGGTCACAGAGGATGGGGCATAACTGTTCTGCAAGATGGGTTTTGGTAACTCTGCAAAGAACTGTGCTCTGTTCATCTGTACATTGTGGATACCTGGACTTTCAGATCTGATGCTGGAGTTGTCAGAGACTGGACTGCCTTGTCTGTACTTTTCCTCAAAACTGGGCTTCCTTATCACTTTGTTACTGTAGCCCACTAGACCTGGAAGACAAATAAATAAATCATTCAGCCACTCCTTCCTTACCACTACCAACCTCTCCTTTATATATTACAGAATACATTTTATGGAAACTGAAGAACCAATGCTTATTCAAATTTAGGGGGCCTCTTTATAGAAGTAAACAAGAACAAGATGTACTGATCAAGTTATATGTACTCTGAGGCTGTGTTCATTCCAAAGTCAACTGCAAATTCAACAAAATTCATAACCCATTGACTAAAGGTGCAAGACCATGAAAATTCTTTCCATGACCTTAATTCAGTAGTCAGAACAAAGCCAAATGTTTCTGATGGGTCCCATACAAACAGCCTTCATTGAGGCTAGTAAGAAAAGCTTGTGTTTCTACAATGTCTGATTGGTTTGGTTTTATGAATGCAACCATTATGACTGCTCCTTGGGCAGAACAAATAAGAGGGAAAAATGACGTTTTTGAATTAGTATCGTTTTAGTTGTGATCCTGCCACCTTGTGTCAACAAAGCTAAAAAGGTTGCTGCAGGTGGACTTGGTCCCCATTCAGGAGTGGTCTTTTGGCTAGTGTTTGAGGGGATAACCTTGTCACCACCTCCACTAGGGCCACTCTGCTAGAATAACATGGCACAGAAAGCCTGGGAGCAAGGGGGTGAGGGCCAAGACAGTTTCCCTAACTCACACGTAGAACTCTCCAACCTACCATAATACCTCTTAATACAGGGCTGTTATTGTAGGATGCAGTGGTTGTTGTGTTTTAGCTTGCCACTGATCACAGCTAGGTGAGAGAGTACTGCAAACATGTTTCACAACAGGGAAAAAGGGGTGAAATCAAATCTTCAGAACATAGTCCTGACACCATTTTATGCACATCTTTGTAATAACATGTAGGATGACCATGCACCAAAATACTGAAAAAAAACTTTTAAAGAGTAACATCACGGGTGTAAGCAGACCTCTAAATAATCTTTCAGGAAGTCAATCATTATCATAAATCTTCCTAAATACAATTTCACCCTGCCTATTCATATCCTGAGTTGATAAAATTTTAACTTCTGGGTAAAACTTACCAGCATTTTTGTGTATCCCATTCTTTACATCATGTCCTTTTAGCATGATTTCAATTGCACTTTCTATATTTCTGCTGCCACAGAGCTTCAGAGCCTTGGCTGCCAGGTCCTGAAAAAGGATGCATTTAAATTTGTTAGTTGCTGCAAGATGTAAATCTACNCCAGCTATATAACCCTGACACAACCCTATCTAACCACAGAGGCCCCCTTCCCTTGAGGACAAATTCCATGTAATTGCACTGACCCAAAAGGCCTACACATTCCAGGTCATGGAACAGTAGAACAACAATGAAAAACAATCCACCTCTCCCTAATAAAACCACCGCAGGGCTTAAAATTCCAGTGAACTGATGGACATCAAGCACATACATTAGGATCTAAACTAAGGAGGTTTCCAGCTTTCCCCATTGGCATGGATGTCACATAAAACTGCCAAACAGGAATACATATGAATACTCACTTATGTCAACATGGGTAAAAATGCTAAAGGGTGCACATTTTATTCAAATATCCATCAAGGAACATATTTTACCAAAGTGCAATAATTTTAATTGGGTGCAAATTTCAACTCAGTTGCCCCTAGTTTTCTTGGAAGATATGTTAAGCCCATCGTTTAAATACTTTTAACATACATTGACAGCTCTGACATACCTTGATAACTATGATAACAAGTTTATATATGACACATTAATAAAAGCGTAATCTGGTATTTTGCCTCAAGTCAATAATCTCAATTCTTTCATAATCTTAAAGGGGCTTTATATAGATAGCCTTAAACAGTTTACTATCTTTAACCCTTATGACCATGGAAAGCTTAGAAGGTGGAGGAGGATGGGCAGGTCTTAATCCTACTGTGATTAAGTTGTAATAGACTATTATATATCTATCACCATTTACAACTAATATTTCCAATACAGCCCAGATCTCTTTCATCATGACCAGGCCCTTGTACCATCAAACTATAAGTGACAACAAGAAATGTATTCCTCTCACAATAACCAGGTTATAACCTGGTTTGGTCAGCTTTTGGAAGGGCTGTTTGTTAAGTTATCTCAACCTGCTGATAAACCAAAGTCCTGGAATGCAGTCTATCACTTTATATATACATAACAAGAGTATCACAACAACAACAGCAGGACCAACACATATTCTGAAATACCAGGGCAATAAACTCTGCAGAGCAACCAGCCTTTTGTTTTAGTCTCTCAGCAATCCAGATGTAAACACTTGCTTATGATAGTGCTGCTTCTTTATTAAAACCCTGTTCTGCTCAATCTTGTTATCTAAATTACATTACATTAATATTTTGCTATTTTTATTTTGGCATAATGTATGGTATCTAAGTATTCAGGAATGCCACAATTCATGTCTATATAATGTACAGTAGCAGCTCCCCAACATTCTTTGCTTAACATTTCATGATGGCTTCATCCTTGTAAACTTCTGAAAATGGCTCAATGAAACATCCAGTTTGACCAATATTACAGAAGACTTTAAGAGTGAGGATTTAGAAATATTTTAAAGGTATATCTTACTTTGATTGCTGTCACAGTTCATTTTTATGTCACACTACCCATCTAGACCCTTTTTGTGGAATAAATTTACCTTTATCCATGGTTTCAGAGAACATAGCCATAAGCATTATTCTTTGGCTCCCTGAATTGTATGTACACAATATAAAATGTCATTCTAGACTGACTCCAGGTGGACTGCCTTCTGCTACTGTTGACCTCCTTAAAAAGGCTCCTTTCCATCTGTGCACCTTTGGGTACAAAGAGGAATTTTTTCCAGCAAAATCCAATTATGCCAAAAGATAAAGTTTCAATTGATTAACATTATTCAACTCACATATGTCATTTTATAAAACTGCACAACTTGATTTAAAAAATATTGAAAATTGACATCAAAAGGGGCCTAGCTGACATAAGATCTGCACAGTCATTACATCTTTCAACCTCCTGTAACATCTGCTCTTATCCCTGCACTTAACGGGCTCAATGTTAAGTACGATTTTCTTCCTCTTTTAGATGAGAAACTTTACAGTTTAACAGAGGGGAAATAATGTTTTAGAAGACAACCTCTGTGTATTCCTCCTATGGTAAGAGATGGTGCTGGTAATGAACTATATTAATATCTAACAAAAATCAACAACTGCTCCTGAAATGTGTATAATGTTTAACAGGCAAAGTTTAACCAATTATTCCTAGCAGCTAGCACTGAAGTCAGCATATAAATGGTCAAAAAAATTTTTTTTTAAGTGTTGCCTGCTTCCTTAACCACAAATATGGTATTCAGCACTCAGCTAGCACGAGTGAGAAATGTACACAATGAAGCAGTAATGTAATCATGTCCTACATGCCAGCAGATGTCATTCCATTGTGAGCATGTCCATCTGTCTAGAGACACCTGCCCTTTATTCACATTAAGCACCATTGAATCCTCAAACCTGCCTGACCCTCTCAAATACTAACCAGCTGACCTGTACTATTAAATAGGGGTGCCCATGGCTACATCTTTAAAGGGGCATAGACTAGCCCCTGCATATTTTCATGACACTGTCAGTGGATTTATATTATGCCATCTATACTTCCAATTACTGCAATTGCAATCTTCTAAGAAATATATGGAAGTCTTATGACAATAATTTCACAATCGTAACATGAAACCATCTCACTGCCAGAGAATATATGTCAAAGAGATATATTTCTAAACAAAAATAATTATCTTCCACAGATTTAAGAAGACAAAAGGGATGTACTTAGCATGAAATTTATCTTTTTCAGACATAAATGTTTTTTCCTTCTTAAAACAATAGCTTCATATTCTAGATTAATTCTAAATATATGGACTGCTCTAGAAAGCCATCTTCCCAGCATTCTTGCTTTATAAAACACAAGCTCTGGCTTTTGTACATTGTTATTGAATGTGTGTGTTCCAACTGTTGTTTTACATTACCAGGGTGAGAGCCAAGCTGAGTTAATCACCTTTTTACAGTTGTCTTTAAAAACAGTACTTCACAGCAGCTAACATGTGCACAAGGTGCTTCTGGTCAATGTGATATACTTCATGTGTGCATGTAAATTGGGAACTATCCTCTTATCAATTCATACCAGCCTCAACATAAAAAATTCCTTCTTTTCAAACCAAAAAATACATTTTTTAAATTGTGTCAACCATACAACAAAAGCCTAAGCATGGCAAAGATGACCATAAACCAATTATTATTGTTTCAAAATTATAGAATTTTTAATAAGCCTGAATTACCATTATATTCCAAACTGAACACTTTTATTTGTGACAGCCTCCCCCACCTATTTATCATTTCCCAATCCCAATTTATCACTGTTACCAATAGTGTGTGGATGGATAAGTGCACTGATCCTAGCACCTCATTTATCATTGCATCAGCCTAGCATTCCAATATCCCCTTCATGAATGCTTCATTGATTCAACTCTACTACAATGTCAACTATGCAGGTGTGCCAGTGTTTGTCATCAGACTTTTTCTTACTTTACAAGATCAATACCAGCTTTTGATAAGCTTTTCTAAAGAAGCATGCAATCAATAGCGCCATCCCGGAGCACAACTTCAGATAACTCAACTTCTGACCGAGTTAGAATGGCATTAACTAAGACAATAAATAGCTTTGCTTCTTCACCTTTCTGTCTAAAGATTCCCTCAGACATTAAAGGTCACAGCGCTAGCCTGTGATAAACATCTACACAGCTCTACATTCCATTCTTCTTACAGAGGCAGCCTTTACTAACAGAAAAATCACCACTGACTATCCCTGAGAAAAAGAGTAAAGTGGGGGAGGGGCAAATGTTAACTACCATTTCTTACTGTACTTTTTCTGAACTTTTCAATACTTAATGAAAAAATCACTGGTTCTTCACAATTTTAATGGAATCAATCATGAAAATAATTTTATATGATAGCATCTTTCTCTGTTTAAATATTTACCATTTACACTTTTCACATTATTCAGGTAGCACTTATTTTACATCCACTATGCAATCTTTAGAATGTCGCTGGTGAAAGGAAAAACATTTTGAACTAAAGTTAACTTTTGACAACAGGTCTTTGCAAATTTCTAGTACCATAATAAAATCATTCTTTGTGGGGAATCTTGAAACCGAATAACCTGGGTTGCCCAATCCTAATCAGAAGCAATCAATTTGTACTGAGTTGACCAGGCTACCATAGGTCAGTTTACGTGTCCTGTCAGACCTGACCCCTGCCAAACACATGATAATGTCCAGATGGGAGTCTAGCATCAAGTCTAGAACTAAAATAAGGTGGGACTTCTGGAGTTTACATGGTATTAGCTTTTACCAGACACAGGCTTCCTGGTATGGTAAAAGCTAATACCATGGCATACTAGTACATAGTGGACAATATATGACTGCATGGCAAAATCTAACATTGATGAACTGATACCACAAAAAACATAACTGTAGTTGACAACTAGCATAGAAGAAGTCTAATGAATAAAAGAGCCTGCACATTAACGAACTGCCCATCAAGCCTGCATCTGCCAAATGCTAAAGATGATTGGTGAAGTGTGACATGACCAGTGCCTCTGCACCTTGCATAATTACGCAGGTGCATTTGCACTACCATAACATGTTAACATGCCCAGCCAACTTTTCCTTAGCATAATTTCTTGGCATTTCTACACTTTCTCTATCTGTTAGTAAGGTAATTCAAGTCACACATGCCGAAAACATTGACACATGGACTCGGAGGGGGAGCATATTTTCAATTAAATCTGTAACCATTAACTTCAAGCATCAGCCAAACACAGAGATGTTACCTTGCCAAAATCATATTATCCATGATGTCCTGTCAGGCATGGGAGGCACATCATTTCATATTTTATTTACTATCATGAATAAACAGAAAATTTATACTTAAACAATATAACAAGAAGAGGGTGGGATCTTATTTTAGGTGAAAGTAAAATAAGAATTGGCTATACACTTTACCTCATCATAACCCATCTTGACCAGATGTAACAGCATATGCCTGTTAACACTGTCTACATCCAACCCATTGCTACTGCTAGGACTGTTCCCTGCACTGGCAGTATCGCTATTCTGGAAAGGCTTTAAGCTATCCCTTATCTCCGCAAGAGCCTTTTGGTGATATCCCAATCTTCCTGCTTTGCCTACACCAATGCGGTCTGCAATATTGGATGTTGACTGACCAGCCTCTGGTGGCTTTATTTGCATAGGCTCTGGCTTCCCACCATCAGCTGGCTGGTTCTTACGCAGGTGGCTGAGACTGTCGCGGATTTCATGAAGCATTTGCCGGTTATTACCGGTAAATGTAGATAGGAGTGGACGGCGTCCCCCCGCCTCCTTGCGTATCATGTGTCCCGCAATAATGTGCGACACAAAAACACTTTACATCCCCTTCAAATTTCATGTAAACACTGGTACTCTCTACACTGGTATTGAATTAAAGCGCATGGTGCAATCCACAGATCATCACATTGTGGGATACTCCATTCAATGAAACCTTTAGGCCATGTGAAACTTAAATTGTGTTTCCTCTTCTAAGAGTAATCCCTGGAGGCTTTCTGAAAAAAAAAATCTTGAAATATATCAAATCTGGTAAACATTTTCGCCCACATTCTGTAACAATGTGAGCGACTCAAAACATTCATCGCCGTGTTCTATTATTCACTGTAAGAATTATGGCATGTTTTCAGACTATCTCGGCGTCCTTCAATACAAAAGAAGTCATCATTTCTCTTTTAGCAATCACATCTTTTGGTAACCTTTATCTACTTCAATGATTAACAATATAAAATCGCTAACGTTACACACTCGTCCTATCCGACTGTATCAAGACCTAGTCACAGATGATACACAGTGGCTTTGCTATGATCAATATCCAATTATAAATAACCTTGATAAGATTGTCAGCAACAAATATCCTGCGTCGAATCTCCTACTGTATATCTTAATTCCCGCAACTGAATCAAATGTTCGAATTTCTACGCTGCATGCAAAATACCCAATAATCAACAATCTATAGTCGTACTCGGCGTGGCAGCCATGTTTTCGTGACTCATCCAACAATCGGTCAATGTTGACATACTTTCTTTGATTTAACTACTGTTTGAGGCCAAATCATGATGCCGATGACTGTGTTACATCGGCAATGGTTAAATGTGAACAAAATTTAAAAATCTGCATTATATGACCAGGATACTTACATAAATTTGTTCATTAAATACAGCATACACTCGATGAATAGGACAACCGGAATGCCAATGACTGACTGAGGTTAGGAGAATTCATATACTGATCAGAATGGAATGTGACGCATGAAATATTTAATTTACCCACTTTAGATATTGCAACAGAAATTTTGCTCCCAAAAGACTCAAATTAATTGATTTTGGTTATTCATGTACTTTTCAATATTTCGTTTTCATTTTTTATTATTACGCTAAATGAAATATCAATGAAAGATAATGACGGTTCTCATTCATGTCTGCACTCTTCTGGTTGAAAAGGCCGAGATGATTGACAAATCTATGCATCTCGCTACGCCTATTTCGAGGCATTGTTGACATTCCACAGTGATCACATGACCAGATAAATAAGAACTGAGTAAATAGAAGCCACGTGGGCATAGATTAATGGCAGGGTGCACAGAATGCATTTTACATATCCATTGAGCATAGCAGGTACTCGGGGAAATTTTAACAACGTGTAATTATCGTGTTTAACAAATATGCGTGTTTCACACAATTATCACCACTTCCTTTCCTAATTTTATGACCCTGCATTTCCCAGTGGACATTTTTTAACAAAGCATATTGAAATAATCACGGCAGAACGAGACGCATATCCGCTTCGATAATGTACGTACATCTACTGATCTCTCTGCAGACCTAGGGATGCCCAGGCCTTATAGGAATTAGGCCTACACATATAGGCCTATACCGGTATATATAGGCCTATAGGTTTATTTTGCCTCTAAAATAAAATAAAATAAAATAAAATAGGTGATAAATCAATTGAGAGTTTAATTCTGACGGAATTCTTTCTTCATACTGATGCCTTTCATATAGGCCCTACCACAGGTCGAACGAATAATTATTTTTCTAAGAGGGCAATATAGATCTTCGTCAACTCGGCCATTTCAAACTTTGATGTAGACCATACACGGGCTGTAAATAATATTGTTTCTTCTAAAACCCACCTAAAGGCCTTGGTGAGCCTTAGCTATCTAGATTTCATGTACACCGTATGTCCAAATATTAAACCAAGATTACATGTAGATATTACATAAGACAAATGTCTTTTAAGTAGGTATACCAATAAGGACGATACAATTAAGGTTGTTGCTCAAAATAAAAGCTGGCTAGGTGTTTTCGATGTCTGCGTAGACATACACTGTACAAGTATGCATCTGTTTAAAGTGTCTAGAAGCAAAAATGTTCACATCATTTTACCTTTAATGTTAAATAATGGGTGAAAGTAAAGTGAAATGGGATTATTGTGAAAAAAATACGTCTATACGCAGTATGCGATCTGATATGATGAGAAAAGACATCGTATTCATGCATATTGGGCACCGTGCCTCTGGATTGATTTACAGATTAGTAATTTTCTGAATATAAGAAGGCGTTCCTAAAATCTGTGGCGCTCAGGATTTATTTGACCCCTATTTCACACGATTCGGTATAATATCCGTACCGTATTTATAAAAAACACGGTAGAAATTTTCGATTAAAACGTCGATGTTAGCCTACAATATAGGCTATATTTACAAATACCTATGGTTATACTCTGGGGCACCTGCGGGACATACCGGTATGCTTGTATTTGAATATCCTTTGTGTTCATTTCGTTCTTTACTCTTGGGAACAAGATAAACTGATTTAAGAATTATATGTTGTCGACTACTAACCATGTACCAATATACCGGTCTTAATTTGTTATATATATGTGTATCCCGAAATGTAAAAGCCAGTAAGCCTAGTTCATTTTGAAGTGCACGGCATGCTTTTGATTCACATCGTCTGGAATCTATATTCGTAAAGTACGATACATTTATCGGGGTAAAGAAATTTCGGGTTCACGCTGCTTTAACGCGAAAAGTCACGCGCCTCAAGGTGATCCAGGTTGCAGAGGTCGGCGAAGTTTGTTACTCAGTTTAATCAGGCGTAACAGATTGTAAAACACGTCGTATATTTGCGTTTGAGCACCGCATAGATTTAAATACGAATAACAATATTACATACAAAATATTCAACTTATTTTCTTTAAATTCTAAGATAACGCAAATTACTGGTTATTTTTATTCAGAAGTTACCTTTATAATAAACTGAATTTATCATAAGTTTTTTTTTCAAAACATAATACTGGTTCCAGAGAAGAAACTTTTATTTTTGAAATCTTTTGGAAGAATACTGCATGAAGTCAGGTCATATTTTGTTCTAACACACTAAGTGGAGAGATGCTTAAAGAAACTCCTGCGTGGAAATTGGCAAAATAACAGAGCCTACGTTGTAAAGGATTGATTGTCCCCTCTGACATTGAAAAGAACCAAGGTTAAAACTGAATATCTCAAAAGATGTGCAAATTCATTTGTCAATACTGGGATCAGAAGACAAAGGTCATATGAACTGGAAATATGATATACGATAATATATACTAGAATACAAACAAAACTATTCTACAATTACCCCGAGTTTCAGAGGTCACTGTCAACTCACTGCCATTAATATGCTTGCATCTGCCGTCCCCAGTAAGAAATGATACTGGAAGTGGCAAAGGCATTTTGATTATATAGTACTGTTTTCAGTGACCTATAAATTCAGGGTGCGCGCCTTGCCCTTATACCGCAAAAAGGGGTCACTGCTCTACGTTTTTCTTTTGTTTCTTTATTTACAATTTCGACAACACGTGAGATATTTTGTCAGAATACGGTTTGTTTTATATTATAATTGGTAGGAGATGTTTAAAAAATCGGTTTGATAAAAAAAATTACCAAGAAAACAGGTGGTACATAAAACTGATTTTGATGGCGGAAGAATGAATATAAAAAAAAGGATGGATCAAATTTAAAAGGAGAGATTTCCGTCAATGACGAACTTACTGAGTCTTCAATTAATTTTCATACATTGGTTGGAAAATTTTTAAGAACAAGTTTTCATCGACTAGCAAATAATCATTTAAAATAGATTTTGGCCACAGAGTTACTTCAGCATTCTTTTCAAAATTAGATTATCTGCTTTTCTTTCCAATCATTAATTTTAAGTAGCACCATGTTTCAAAAACAAAAAAGTGCAAATCACCTTACCTCTACCAGGGTGGCAGATATTAAAGGAAAATTTTGAAAAATCCAGAGAATTAAATGACTGTCTATTTATCTAAAGATATATCTGTGAATATCTTGTGAAAAATCAATCTGTCGCCCTGGTAGAGGGTACAAAACATCCACGGTAGGTAGAGCTCTTCAGTCGATTTCAATATGGAAAGCGGGGACCAAGATGCATGGATCGGCAGGTCAAGAACCACCGATGATGTTATTATTATTATTATTATTATTATTATTATTATTATTATTCATTTATTCACATTGGAACCCTTTCACTTATAAAACCGCACTTCGCAATCGCTGGGCCTCTGCCTTTATTCAGGGTGAGGTAAAGATTGGAGGCATTGCAATTGGTCACCAACGTTATATAAAATTTAATCGGTCACGAGTGAATGGTATAATAAAGCTAATCTGAGCAGTGTATGAAATACCGATGTGATATACATTCAATACCACACTTTACAGAACTTGAACACATCCACCAGATGATCAGTACGATTTCAAAATAATCTATTCGTAAAATTTTTCTCTATTGATATGTAAATATTCCAGATATCCTTAGTCTTCGACGTGTTTGTATATTGCCGCAGTAAATCATCCATCTTTTGCGTTTCTGTGCTTGCATCATAGACTTCCACGGCATTCACAATCATAGAGAATCCCAGAGTTGAGACGGTATTCCTGGCACACCTGGCGCAATTAATAAGTCTCAACAATCTACGACACAAAATATCTCAGAATTCCACGAATAAAAGGAGTGAGCGTTGCTGGCTCACGCTCATACGCGTGCATAATAGGCATCATGGATGCTGCAAACACCACAACGGACCCATAAGGAATGTACTTACAAAAGCCCTTTTCCAACCCTAGTAGAAAGAGAGCATTGATGGTGTGAGGAATAAGAAACATGACAAGTTCCTTTCTTCGAGACGCCCTCTCAAATAAAACACTCAGTCCGCAAGTGAGGCCGGCCAGTAGTGGGATGTATGCCGGCAGTGGGGGAGGCTTGCCCGACATATTCCTAAGCAAACATATAACGTACTTGGCTAGCATTACCATTGCTGACAGAAAGGTGGCTGACATCACAACGTTCTTCAATAGGGACTTGAGTACTTTTTTAGGCCTGGAAAATATAATGGAAATGAAATATCTTCATGATCAAATTGAGGAACCTTCACTTGATTTTAAAATTGACCAAAAAGACAAAGTTAACAAGTATGAAAATTTTATTTTTCATCAAAATACTTTATAACAAGAAATAACCTCTGAAGGAAGAGGAAAAAAGAGAGAAAAAGAAAAAAAGAAAACTATCCATATAATAAGCGCCGCTTACTGTTGACGTAAAAGTTTTCTCTTGAACAGAAGAATTGGCGCCACATGAATAGGTAGATACAACTTGGCAAACCCCGGCCAGCTTTGCAGCAAGTCAAGGAAGGCATGTCTAGTGCACGTATTGTCGTGGATTTCACCACGCGCGCACGAGACGAACACGCTTCCTTGCTTTCTGAACACCTTCTCCAGGTTAGAGTTCGTGTAGTCTCTGGACCACTTGAGTACCGAGTAGTAGTAGCCTTTTTGTAGCAGTTGTGGTTTAAGGGCGGTGCAGTAAACCATGAAAGAACAACAGAGGCAAAACAGGGTGGTGTAACCATGGGGAATAGGGCGGACCACGCCCTGGCGGTTTGCGGCATCTGCAAGAACACCTACAGCACGGGCCAGTGCAAACAGAGCAATAGTTCTTCGTCTCATATTGCTCTCCACAAAGAGTGACAGGCCAGCAATACCCCCAGATATGACGTAGTTCATTCCATTCTATAATATAGGATAAAAAACAACCTGTACATGAATACACTGCAAACATACATGCAATACTGTAGTTTAATCATTTTATTCATTCACTAAAACGATGCGGGATGGACAGAATCAATGAAATATCATATTAAAAAATGGTTACCTAACAAACAGAAAGAACGCCGCCTAATAAGTTAATCCACCAAGAGTATAGAAAAAAATTTAAAATTGTTAAAGCACATGTAAATTTACCTTCTTCAGATCGTAATTCTGACATAGTTTAAGAAACAAGTTGTACAATGCCGGGTAGAGACCAAGGAAAGAGGCAAAACGGAAACAATCTTTGCTGAATAGCTCTTTCCACAGTGGCGGATAGCTGCAGATATCAAAATGTATATATATTAGAAAAGACATGAGGAATCGTGCCTCTTTCAGAGCCATAGGGAGATTTTTTTCACTAGATATTCACAGATATATCTCTAGCAAATTCTGTGCATATTACTGTGTCCAGGGGAAATTTATTTACAGCATTTCAAAAAAGGCGTCACCACTCAGCTGGCTCTGGGGAGAGTATATGAATGACCCTAAGCATCTTCGGTGTTATATGACATAACCGCCCTGTGCTTAGATATTTATGTGTTCTGTTATGGCTATGGGAGATTGCTGCTTTGATATATATATATATATATATATATATATATATATATATATATATATATATATATATATATATATATATATTTTTTTTTTTTTTCCTCATGACATAAACTGATATCTCTCTGTAACTACATGTATAATACCACCCTATAGAAAGTCCACCAATGAAAATATTTCCGTGGCACTAATCAAATCAATCAAAACGAAGCAATTTCCCACCCCGTGCCTTACCTATTATTAGTAAAATTGCCCACATCCTTATTTTTGCCACAATTAGATCTAGATTTTTTTTGTTTGTGAAGCATCCCCGCTCCCTTAAGCAAAATCCTGAATACGTCCATGGCGACTATGGTTTTATACGGTATCATCCTTATCACTATGACAGTAGAACTAGGTTAAGTGTACACTCGTGGCCACGATTAAGTTCTAGTATATGTAATTATGTTCCGATAACAGACACAACACTGTCCGGGCACAGATTTATCAGTTAATATAGGCCTACCATTGTTTTTCTATAGGGCGCACATACTCGTAAGTTCAAAAGGTCAATATTATATTGTTGGGTTGAAAATACATGTAGGCATATTTAGCATGCTAAACATGTACATATACTAAAGAGCTCCCTCTAAACTCCCTATGAAGGTCTGTTGTACCCTTTCTACCTAGAAAAGCACTGTCTCAATGAAAATTTGTGCTCATTCCTCATCCCCTTACGTATGACATGATGTAAGACATATCTATAATATAAGCGTATGAGAGGCGTACTCGCCGGCAACTTATTTATATATAAGTATGAACTACCTCTAAGGCAATCGATCGCACAAAGGATTATAAATGATGATGTTTTCACCAGGAATAGACTGTTCTATTGTGTTATATTGAAGTTATGTCACCGTCATATAGAAAAAAATAAAATCAAATACATAAATTTACCGCTTTCTGAAAGGATTTTTCATAAGAGCTGTTATTATCTTGAAGGCGGCATATAAACCAAATCCGCTACCAGCACCTTTACAAAAAATCTGCAGTGCATCTTTGAAATTAACTCTCCTTTCCTTCTTTCGGTCGACATTTTCCGAGAATGTCCGAGGTCCGTCTCCACTGTATGCATTGGTTGCCATTATAGTGTCTCACACATCCCGTGACTGAAAGATGTTGATATCGTGATGATTGGTTACTTGTAAGTTCTGCGCATATGATATGTGTTTATCTTCACCCGTATTCTATAGATTGTGATTATCGTCTAAAATAACACAATTAGTGCGTATCCGTTGTAGTTGTATCTTTATTTAGTTTACCTCTTAATTTTAATGATTTGTGTCTTATTTGTAAAGGTTTGACCAATTAATTAATAAATTTAATGGCGTAGGAACCGGGGGGGGGGGGGGGGGTGCTGATAGAGTTAACTCCTCCCCTCGGCTTTCGTCAACCTCATCAGCCCTAAGCGCAGGAAGGGGGGAGGGAGTTATTGGTCATGTCAACTTATTTGAGTCAAATAAATATCAATAAGTCATTGAAATAAATTGCGAGCTGACACCAAAGTCATCCGAAGTCCAACTTCATTAAGTAATTTTTGTCCTTTCCGCCACCCGCTCCTTTCCGTTGCCTAAAATTTCGATCGTCCAGTCTCAGAATACCTTTCGGTCCTACAAAACAGACATCGTTTTGGGAGAAAAAAAGCCTTGATCTTCATTTAATGATATAATGATATACCGAAATAGTATATAATAATGCTGAGAAATTACAACAAAGAAAGAACGGGACATGTTCAAATGAACGCATATTGTAAAATGTATTTTTACCTCCGCCAAGGAGGTTATGTTTTTGGTTCCGTTAGTTTGTCTGTCTGTCTATCTGGTCGTCTGTTAGCAACATTACAGAAAAAGTTATGGACCGATTTTGATGAAATTTTCAGGAACTGTCAGAAGTTTTTGGTGGTGATCAGGATCAATAATCAATCAATAATCAAAAATAAAAAAAAAAACTAAATCAGTATAGAAATGAAAATTTAGGGGTGAAACAGCATTGGGTGGAGACTGCTGCCTTGGCGGAGGTCTGCGCTCTCGGAGTGCTTTTCTAGCTTATCTTTATTTTATTGGCTTCTTTCATTCTCCCCAATCACTCCTAAATATCCATAGTGTCCACCAACCTACTCACCTAACAGTTTGTTAGCTGCGCAGTACGGGCCTGTGGCAGCGTTTAAGCTTCAACATTTGCTTCTAATAGCCTCAGTCATTAAGGATTTCATGCACAAAAAGCGTGCTATTAAAAGGTGTGTGTGTGTGTGTGTGTGTGTGTGTGTGTGTGTGCACATGCCTGTATATTTGAAGTATTTTATTACCCATTCAAAGGATCGTTGCAGTGAGATTGTGGGTGGTGAGATAAAGTTATTTAATAAAAAATTATGATAATAATGGGGCCATTTGGGCAGCCATACCATACTGTGCATCAAATTTGTATTACACGCACTTGTACATCAGCATTACATGGGTATAGCATAAGTACTATCCAACTTAATAGTTCAGGAGAGTGCCAGATGCACACAGTCACTCCTCAAGAGAAACAAACGTAGATTTTAATCATTTTAATCCAAAATTCCAACATACATCTTCAACTGATAACAAATAACAACATCATATCCATTTTTCTCTAGATTAAAGGTGCACTTGGCCCCACTCCCATAGACACTACTGATAGTACTGGTCTACGTGGATCTACCCAACTCTGTGGGGACTCGCACTGATAGCAGTCACCTTAACTGAATCACATGGCTCCTCCTGGTGTTGAGTAAAATACAGAAAAGCTCATGATTATATGAGCACGTTGGACACAAAAGGAGGCGTGTCATTCACTTGAGCTGATTGCACTTAGCGAGAGTCCAGAAGAGATGGGTCAATCACAGGCCTACCCAACTACCAGACTCGGCACCAAATGTTCCTGAATTCACCGGTAAATCGGACCACACTACCCGTTTTCAAGGTGTGTATCAGTACGCATTTCACAGTATCAGATGCGACACTGCTCTTGCCTAGTACGCAATGTGATAGTGACGATTCTCAGCGGGGTTGAAAAGCATTGCATCACCACTCAAAATTTGTTCAGTGTATGATACTGTGTAATGCGTACTGACTCACACCTTAAAAACGGGTAGTGTGGTCTGATCTACTGGTGAATTCAGGATCATTCGGTGCCGAGTCTGGTAGTTGGGTAGGCCTGAATCACTGCATATCAATGGTGTCTATGAGAACGGGGTATTACATTTTGATGTGGAAGGTTATTACGTGAGATTAAACCAGTGATACAAATAATTTCAAGGCAAACTTAAGTCCTCACTTGTTGTATAAGAAACACTGAAACAATGGGGTATTACATTTTGATGTGGAAGGTTATAACGTGAGATTATAGCAGTGATACAAATAATTTCAAGGCAAACTTGCTGAAGTCCTCACTTGTATAAGGAACACTGAAAAAAAAAAACAGTTATGTAAACAAATGATTTTGATGCTGTTAACACTGCCATAACAAAGTTAACCAAATGTCTTACTGGCCAATTTTGTCTTAAAATCACTAATTATAAAAATCTGCTACTGCAGTGTGTTATCTTAAGTTGCAATCATGCAGAATTGAAGACTGAGATCAAATTGAAAATGCAACTTTGGTCTATATCACAAGAATCCATAGTATATCCCTAAAAAAATCCTTTACACTGGTAAATATAAACTGAATATTTTAACTGGTATTCCTCTTTAGACTAACTTGAGGATGAAGACAACTTGGTGACATCCATCTATGCAGCTTGGGATGAACACAAAAAGCAGATGGACTTGTTAATGGATTGCTAATAATATTAAGCACAACATCATTACATACAATTATGTTGTAATTAAAAAAATATCAGTTATAAAGGACAGTGCTGGTCAAAATGTACGTCTTAAACCATCAAAATCTGTTAGTTTATCATTAGCAAATATATCTGCACTCCACAAGTAAGGATGAAAATTTAGTCAACTCTGTTGCGAGATCCACTGACTACTTTTATCAACTCCAGCGCCCCCTTTCAGGTTGGCGTTCTCTGGGTGTGGCTGTAATAATGGTATCCACACGGAGTATCATCTCAGCAGCCTCTGCAGCAGACAACAGCATGCAGCTCTTTACTTTGAAGGACTCTGTCACTTGGCAATTTGACATATCACCAACTTTGCCATGCTTCATGTCTATGAGAAAAAAATGACAAAATTGCACTTTTTTAACAAGTTGAAGTCTTGCTTAGATAATGTCATATGGCTGAAGGTTCATTGATTTGAAAAATATGTCCAAACAAATGCTAGGACACTGTTTCAACAAATCATCAATAAGGTGCAGGCCCGTAGCCAGCAATTCCAAAAGGGGGGTTCTTTTTTTGAAAAAGTGGACCTTTTCCAATAAAAACTTCTTGTACCTAGATCAAATTTTAACCAGAGTGGACCTTTTCCCAGCAAAAGCGGCGGTTCTTTCGAACCCCCCAAACCCCCCCTGAGGTGTTCTGTTTCACAACAGTTCAACCCAATGGTCTTAAATTTTTCGGAGAGAATTTGCCCACAGACACTTTGGACAAATGATTTCTCATGAATTCTTTCATACCGAGAAACCTTCAGACATAGCATCACATGTTCACTTGGCACCATTTTTTGTATGAATATATTTTTTTTATTCTGTACAATTTTATAAAGAAATTTACTAAAAATTTCTACCTTTATAAATAACCACTGGTAATGAAATGACACACATGACAGTAAAGTACTTATTTTAAATTGAAAGATGTTAGATATTAAAATTAGAATACTACTACTACTGTGTTGTTTTAAAAACTTTGTTAGGACTGGCCATTGCACCTGGTATGGCAAGGGGCTGAATAGGTAAAAAGCACAGGGAGCTAATTTTTGTAACAAAGGAAGTGCTTTATGACCAATTAACAACACCAGTATGCCTAAAATGTCTTGTTTCACAAATTTTTAAGTATTTTGCCACAACAACTTGCATCCTATGCCAAAAAGTTTTAGGTCAATGCAAGCATCAGTTTTGTATTTACCTCTGTGTGCACCAAACATTGTTGCACATAGGTAATTTGTTGGTAGCTCCCAAAAGGTGATAAACCAAAATAGTTCTATTTGCCAAGCAAAAAAGTTTTATACAAATATTATAACAAGTACATAAATTGAGCACATTTAGACACATACTCCAACAATCTCACCTGCACTTGATTCCCACATGGATAGATACAGTTAGTGAAAAAGCTTACAAAATCAACAAGCAGCAAAGCTGTTAAATGTACAGACATAAAGCAAATAATGATGCACAAAATCGGTTTGTTGTCAATTTTGATGCAATTTTACATGAAAATTAAAAACAAAATCAACACAACAGTTAATTCGGACATAAGGATTATTTAAGTGGCAGTAAATAAGAAAATATGTAGGTAAAGTCATATTCAAAATCTTCATATGACTTTTGGTCAGGCTTCTATACTAACTTTTCCAATATTTCCTACGGATTGGGAGAAATCTTATTATTCTAATATTGCTTGAAACCATTTAATTTTAAAAATATGCTAAAAAAAGGGGAAAAAAGAGCATAACTTTTGGAAAAAATGGTCCTATCACACTCTTTTTTGAACTGGACCAGTTAAATGGTTTTTTACTTATAATATCATCTCTGAAAGTGCACTTTGAGCCAAGGACAGACACAAGTGATGGCTGTATGTACAGACGCTGTCTCTGTACATAAAAAAGTCTACTTTTTGAATTATCTAAATATGGTTGTTATTCCAGTACTCACCATTTCATACAGACTTCATGCTCCACTCAACTGAGGTTCAATTATGCATGAAATGCTGAATAAGCTGCATGCAATGCGTGGTATTGGAAAGTGAATTAAATTATTTTGAGGGCAGACAACTTTGGCTAAATCTATACTTTTTATTTTTAGTTGTTATCCAAATTTTAACATGTAATGAACAATATGCACCTCTTACTATGTCAGCAACCCTGCAATATCTGTTAAACTTTTGTTTAGTTGGTAAGTTTGCAGTTATTTCATAAAATATACAAGTTTTTGACAACAAAGAATGATGGCCCCGATGCCTAAGATCTTTATTGAATAGCTCATTTACTGGTTTAACTTCAAAACATTTCCCATTTCTTTGTAAGTCAAATTCTATAAGATTTACGATTTCGATTCATGTAATACATTAGTTGCTGGTTAATTGGTAGGTTTGCATTCATTTCACAAACTGTTCAACTTTTTGATAATAAAGAATGATTGCCCTGGTGCCTTTTAGATTTATATTAAATAGCTCGATTTCCAGAGTATTTCCCAGTTAAAATTCTAAAAGATTTACAATTTGAATCCATATAATTCATTAACAAAGTTGAAGCCAAGTTAAACTAAGTAGTGGGAGACTATACTTTGGTCACCAAAACGAGGCACAAAATTACATATTTCACATATTCAAGCTCTTATTAAAAATAAAACCAAAACTAACTTTTTCACATTTGTTTATTTTTTATAAATACACACAAAGCAGTTGTCACTCCAAGATGATATATAATGCAACATTCAACAGCAATAAAATATTTATACTAAACAGCATAGTCCATTTTACCTCATGATCAATGGTCTATTTTTTCTTTGGTCCACCTACAAAACAAACTTCCAGAACATCTTCAAGACATGCTTATATAGTGTATAGTCTTGCTGATATGACTCTAGGCACATTCATATTACCTGAAGATTGAAGTACACATGCAACTAAGATGACTTTATCATGATAGTGCAAGCACAGGAAAACAAGTGAAATATAGCAGTTATTTGACAAGTTGGTTCAGTCAAATTTCCCAAATGTGCCTTGAAAAGACTTGCGTTGTGGATCCAAAAATTCACACTGCACATCAAATTTCTCTCTTCTAGATAAGTCTAAAGCATGACAGACTGACTGACAGACAGACAGGTGACACCTAGTGACCATGGTCCGGAGCTCGCTGACGCGGTGCAGCTTTTATGATGTCGTCCACTCTAAGGATCATCTCTGCTGCCTCAGCTGCACTAATGAGGACTTGGCGCTTCACTTGGTAGGACTCTGTGATTCCCAGCACTGTCACATCAGCTATTTCTCCCCTGTTCATATCTGAAACAGGAGGTGGTGGGGCATAACCATCATGGGGTATAACCAATCAACATCGACTGCTCTTGAAACATATGTGGGAAATATTTAATAATGGGTAAAATGTTTATTGAAGGCAATTTTTTTCCCATTTTATTTCACTTCTGAAGCACAGGGCATATTCTACTACATAGGCCAATCCATCTACATTGTATAAAATACTCAAATTTCAATCAACCAGCAAGCAAATGTTTGCTCCAGATTTATAGCCTTAGGCATATATTTCAATTTGCATTTTGGATTTCAGGTAACCGTTTTTATAAGAGAATATTAAAAGGAATCTTTTAATGTTTGCAAGGTAAAAGCTTCCAGAATTTAATCTTGTTTCTGGCAGAAATAGCATGATAATTTCACTTTTTCTCTCATGTCATAAAAGCTAAGATCATCTTAAGGTTAAATATTATTTCATGTCCATTAACAGAAAATATGGTACATGGCAAGCTATGTACAAAATACAGGCAGACATACATTCAAAGCATTTACAATACAAAACAAGCTAGGACTGGTGAAAGCAGGGTAATGATTTTTTAGTGCTTCCATTTAATCTGTACAAGGATGATAAAAACTAGATGATCAGAGCGGCAATACCGCCACCACATATTGAGCCACCAGCGAGATAAAACTCAGTTTAATAATAGCTATGGATGTTTCCATTTTAGTTGTGGAGAAATAGGGCTGGTAAATATGTGAAGTGTTCTTCACAGAAAAAGTAGATGGAGCTGTACAAGACAGCTTGGGACTAAAACCATGAGTACCGTCAGTGCTCACGCTGGTGGGCCTAATAATATGGTAATTTCTATATGTTTCTGGGATATATACATATACATATATAAAACTAATAATAAAGACAACACTGCAACTCACCCAGCCCTGTGGTGTTACGTCCTTCCTTGTGAGCTGCTCTCAACTCTGTAACGAGCTGACTGCTATCATAGCCTGCATTGTCAGCAATAATTGTGGGAAGCTTCAAGATAAAAAAAGTGGTAAGTTCTCAAATTGTACTTTCATTCAACACTTGCAATTTTCTTGATACAGTTTGGTCAACAGAGACTGTATCCGGATGTGAAAATGATTTAATATAAATTATTTTATCCATAAGTAACTTTCTTTGAACATAGTAAAAAGTTTAGTGCTCCTTTTCTGTAAATCATTTTTTCTTTTTTATTAAAAGTTACATTTAGGCCATTATCAATTACCTCTCCGAGAATGTCTAATCAGAAACTCTACAATGTCTTACCATTCTAAGAGCTCTAGCAAATCCTTCCATTGCCAGGGCTTCTTTACCAGGTGTTTTCATGGCAAGTTCTGAGACAGCATTTGCCATAAGCATCTCAGAGCAACCTGCAAAGTTGTTTTATACATGTAAATCAAATTTCAAATCAATATATTTTCACACTGTCAAACTGCAGCAGTTGAAAAAAAAAGAGGAGAACAGGCTCTAGTTATCAAACTCTCATCCTATAATTACTTGGAAGTTTATAAAGAAATAAATTACTTTTATAAGTGAAACAGTTGCTCACCACCACCATAAACTGTCCTGGTTTCTTTCACAGTCTGCGCCAGAACACAGAGGGCATCATGCAAGGAACGCTCTGCTTCGTCCAGAATTTGCTGAGTAGCTCCACGCAACACTATGGTGCAGGCCTCTCCCAGAGCAACACCTTAATATAAACAAATATAAACTAGTAATCTGAAGAGTGGATGTCTCCATATGCAGAAGTCTGTCCATTAGACAGTGACAACAAAATACATGTCACCTCAGGTTTACCATTTTTTGGTATTTACAGTTGTGTCATTTTACTGGTGTTACTTTGACTGATAAGCAATTAAATTCAGCACTTAAATTTAAAATGCGACTGGTGGTAAATTAAGAGAAAAATGGTAATGATATTTATTCTTTAGCTTACCTGAGAACTTGATGAGTTTATCCTCTCCAATGATGACTTCCTCGATGAGATCACAATGACCAAGCTTGACCAGCTCTGGGTTGTCAAAAGTGGACACTATCTCTCCACCTGTGGTGAATGAAATATTCTGTGTGTAACATGTCACAGCATCAAAGGTTTGACTACCCAACTTAAATATCTTAAATTGCTCAAAACACTGCATTTAAATGTGTCTTTAATGCTAATTTCATGGGTGCTAATTCAAAAATTTTATTACAACTAACAGCTACTTTGGTAACCAAGATCCAACAACCACGATTTTCTAGTACAATGCCATTTAAATTGAATGAACATGAACATGGTTTATCTAGGTAAAAAATGGTTGATATCTACTTGTAATGTTTCTTTATTTTGACGGGAAAAAATCCCTTTATGCTGAGTGTACATAATTTACCTGTGACCAAGGCCAGTCTCTCTACTCCTTCAAAGTCAGCATGTTCAATGGCCATCACACCAGCATCAGCAAACAACTGCTCTGGATAATTGTAAATTAACTGCCTACAAGACAACAAATACAGTTTAAGCAATAGTTGTGAAATTGAGAAAAGGTGACATGTCTATAATAGGAATTAGAAAACTTCAGAAATTCAAGATGCTTTTTTCCTTTTCTTTGAATTAATACATAAGATTGTGTACCCCCCTTTTCCAAATACAGAGAGTGCATCTTTTGGTGGAGACATTAAACTGCCATTACACAGATAAGTATGGCAATGTAAACCAGACTGACCTACCTGTTAATGAAAACATTACAACCATGTTTAATTATCTTTCCGACTTTATCTTTCATCTTTTCCTTTTCAGCCAATTCTAATTCTGCAATTTTGGAAATGGCATCCACTCTCACTCTGGAGCCAAACACCTGGAAAAATGCAATGAGACTTTTGAAAGTAGTTCAAATAAAAAGCTATATTTTTCTCAACATGCAAATAATCTTTAGTAAAAACACTTTTTCCATCTTATTTTATTACAATCGCCAATTAGGAATTACTACACAAAAGATCTCAATAACTCTTACCATTACCTAAAAAAGTACTAATCAGAGTGTCACTTAATTAATAATTAATTAAGTCTAAAAGTGAAATAATATCTTACTTTTATTTTATCAGCATCCATTGACGTGTTGGCTATTAAGATCTTAGCATTTTCTACTCTCTTTGGTTGATTAACTCCAATCTTCTTCTCCAACAGAAAACCTGCAGATTAACACATCACAGAAAAATGTTCAAAGACAGGCCAACAATGCCACAACTATCAAAAACAAATTACCTATAAATCCACAAATTTTCAGCACATAAAAGGCTCCTTTAACATAAATAAGCCTTTAAGACTGGTTCACATTCAAAATGTCTTATACACTTTTAAGAATAAGTTAATGTTAAAATATCTGCTGCAAAACTAGTTTTGTTCAGGTTCATCCACTTAACTATAACACCAATGTAATAGTAAAAACAACACAACTCTTCAGTGACTCACCTTCATCTAAGGTAGAGTCCAGTAGACTTCCACCAAGAATCTTGATCACTTGTATTGCCTGCAGGTCACCATGACCCTAGAAAAGAGGAGAAAAACACTTCATCACAAAACAAGAAAGCTACCACGTTCTGTATAGTTTCAAGGAAAGAATAAAGATATATTATCAAACATCCAACCCTGAAAAAAAAATTTCAAGTTAGTAACAACATGCCCAACATGTTTAGAATTCTTATTATACCTATCTCTTTTAAGTCATAATAACTCTTTGTTATGGCCAAAAATTGGATTTTCCTGGAGTAAACGGCAATTTTCCCGTACTTACCAATGGTCAACGACCCCATTCCAGCATTCAAAGTTAGTCCAGGTTTTTTTTCCTAAATGTTTGGTTTTTTGAGATTTTAACTGACGGAGCCCTCTCTGACATTGCATAGTCATGCAATATTGAGCGATATTTTCTGGTGACCTACTTAAAACCACAGGAAAAGCAGACAACAACAACACTATATAACAATAATATAAGATTCATAAGATATATTCGTCTTATTGCTCAAAATGCATGTCTACAATGTGTGCAATTCTGGGCTTTTCGTTATCCGACGCACTGTACAAAAACTCTCAACTTACATCTGCGGATTGCATTAACGCGTTGATTGCATGAACGCGAGAATCCGCGTGACACCCCAACGTCATTGGCAACGGATGCCTTGACGACCGTGAAGTAAGGCATCGAAAGCCCTATTGACAAGCACAGATTTTAGTTTTACTACAATAACAGCCGTTTTAGTGGTAAAATGCAATAGAATATATTTCCATGCGTTGTTTATAATGTATTTCTTGCGGAATTTTGAATCTCAAAGGAAGAGTTATTATAGCTTTAAGTCTAAATCTAGTTTTATTCCCTTCATGTGCTTAAAACAACTAAGCTTTTTCTTCTTACCTTAAGTCTTAACACTGCATCCACAGCTAAATTTGCAAAGTGATCTTTGTTCGCAGTCAAAATCTTAGAGCTTAGGGTAGTTCTGGCAATGTTCATCAAATCCTCTCTAAATTTATCAGGATTAGCCCTACAAAAACAAGATGTCCCTGATTTAGCTGATCCACTAATTAGGAAACAATACATTTTACATATTTTGTATACAGTATTTTCCTTTCAACTTGTCACTTTATTTGTAGACGTTACATGAAGATTCGAGTTTGAACAACTTTTATGTAATAACAAAGAAAAAATACATTTCAAAAGATCTGTTTCAGATAAATGATAATATGAGTTATAAGGTGAAGGGTTATGTGAAGTCTACTACATAGGAAAATCATGTTAGCAAAGAGTAAACCTTGAAAATTCCCTCTGGACAAAAATAAATCCGGCAAATGAAATGATAAATACAGACATCAATATTTCTCAGCAGTAACAAAGGTTTTGATGATAAATGCTCTGACTAAGAGTAGTGCCACATACCCATTATCTTTAGCAGACTCTTCTAAAGCTCTCCTGGCCTCAGTGACAGCTTTCCTCCAGCCTGACACTATGGTCTGTGGATGGAGGCGTTGTGCAATTAGGTGTTCAGCTTCCTGGAACCAAAGTTAATTACATTCATAACGAGAAAGAGGAAGAAGTCCATCTGTATTTTATATTAAAAAATAAGGTTTCCTAAAAAGTATCAGACAGAAAAACAAAAGCCTGTAATTTCAAGTCATTATCATGATGTAAAGAAATTTAATTATTTTTTCGCCTAACTCATATCTTTGAAAATTTCAGACTTCAGTTAGATACATATGCAGTAATCCTGCATCATTTCTACTTCTTACTGCTTTTTTCATTATCAATGAATTTGCAAGTCACTTATGAAGGTTAGCATTATTACTGAAAAGTACCTTTAGTAATTCACAAGCTAATACTGTAACAGAGGTGGTCCCATCTCCTACTTCATCATCCTGTACTTTGGAAATATCTAACAGAAAACAATAAAAACAATCAGAAGTGTCAAACAGATGAAATAATGCACTTTCTTCATCAAAACTCTGAGAAAAAAGTGAAAACTTTGTGGCACATTGATATTTGCAAGTTTTCTCAGATATGCTGAAACTGTCGGTCCGATCGGTCATGACCGGCAAAATTTGTCTGGACCGGTAAAATATTGTACTTTGTCGGTCCAAAGGACCGACAAGAGTTTTAAGAGCCGCCATTTTGAATTAACAGTTAGCGTTCGATGTGCTTCAGAAATAAAATTATATAAAATCCACATCATTTTTTCTTCCATTTACTAATCTAGTGACACGTAAAAATGACCACATTTCGGTCACATTCACTTACAAAGTACGCTAGCCAATCGTATTATCCCTCTCTCAAACGAATGGGTTCTTCCCCATGGGGAATCCCCCTGCTCTCGATAATTACGCGCCCCGTCATTGGTATATTGGCCGCGACACACAGACAGCTATCACGAGGGCGGTCCACGCTGCCAAGCACATGTAAACATGCAGGAAAAAATNACTGTAACAGAGGTGGTCCCATCTCCTACTTCATCATCCTGTACTTTGGAAATATCTAACAGAAAACAATAAAAACAATCAGAAGTGTCAAACAGATGAAATAATGCACTTTCTTCATCAAACCTCTGAGAAAAAAAGTGAAAACTTTGTGGCACATTGATATTTGCAAGTTTTCTTTTGAAAATGCTTTATAACAAACAAGTTTGACTCACCAACTAAGATCTTCGCTGCAGGGTTGTCCACACCTATAGCCTTGAGAATTGTAGCTCCATCATTTGTGACCTGAATTGTGTTATTTTTGTTCCCAGACTGCAAGATTTTGTCCTGAAAAGAGAATAAATTGAAGGCAGACAATGAAAAATTGGTAATACAATACCCCCAGGTTACTCATACTTCTTAAACAATATAATGTAAGATTATTGTATTTTTGTGTATCAGAGACATACTAGTGAAAATGTCAAGTGTACTGAACACTGAATGTAACCAGAAGCAATGAGCCTTACCAACAGTAATTTATGGCTAACATTTTGCCACTTCTTGTATTACTTTTTCTACTAACCATTCCTTTTGGCCCTAATGTAGTCTTGACTAAGTCTCCAATGGCAATGGCACCAACAAAAGAGGACTGAAAATAACAGGCAATACAAGCTAATTAATCTGGATCACAGGGATAATCTAATTTTGGCAATATGTTATAAAGCATAATAATAAGTCCTGCAAATTTGATCTGCAGTGTTAATCCAAAATGTCAAAATCAAAGCTCAGTTAATGTCAAGAGTTTTTATGATACAAAGTAATGATAAATGTCAAATTCCCAAATAGGAAGAACAAGAAGTTCCAATTTGACGGCCGTTACCCAAAGGTGTGGAGCGTGGAGGGAAGTGGACAAGTTGGTTGTTATACTATATTATTTGGTACTTATCAGTTGGTTGTTATGTCGTATCATTTGGTACTTACCATACGAGCAGTCTCGGACTTCTCTTCCTCTGCCCCTGGCTTGTAAATACCAATAGGCTGCATGGACACCTGAAATGAACACATTGCCAAGCCTAAACTTTATATTAAACTTAAAACAATTTGAAAGGAAAATCTGAATGGGCAGGAATGACAAAAAGAGTTTTAAAAATTGTGGATTTTTAAAAAATCATCAACCTTATGAATTGTATATGCATACTGTATACGAATATGTGACATATCAAAGTTGAAATAGTTTCTTACACTTGAGCTTCAAAATATAAAGGGCATTCAGTCATTAAACGATCAAATAATACAATGACTTTCTTGTTAAAAAATGCAGGTGGGGTTTCATCTTTACCTATCAGTTCTTTACCCATCCGTACACAGACCAAATCACTCAACAGTCCAGAAGATCAAGTCATATATTTGATATTTCTATTACATTCTCATTTAAGACGAAAACAAATGGCACATTTCCATGTCTCACAAGTCACGTTTGGTTGATAATGCTATTTGTAGGTTTAACATTAAGTTCATCTTGGTTTGTTTCAAACAGTATTTCAACAAAGTTATGGGTTTATCTCACAACCTTAAAGTTACCAGATTTGACAAAACGGCATCAGAAAAATGTATAAATTGTAGTTGCCTACTTTTGATCATCCTAAGTTACATAATGGCATATGAAGTCAAATATTTGCCTATAAAGCCTTGATATTTTTATGAGCGTGTTTAACGTCTGACACTGCTAAAGAATGCACTTATTACTAAAATCCGAAAAGTATATTCCGACTATTCGGAATGGTAAGTTAGGGTGCTTTCCCAGAGATTTAGATCGATCTAAAGATTAAGATTTAGATCGACCTAACTCCCTGGGGGTTCACGCTAAATTGCAGTCAGCCGAGCGGGCACCATAGTTAATTACCCCCTTTCAGCTTTTAGTAGGCGGGACAGATGCTTAAGCCGGCCAAGCTGACAGTAATCTAGTGAGACTCCCCACAGGGATAGATCGATCTAAAAATCTATGGAAATGGGATGATAGAAATATAATCATTTTGCACGTGCTTTCAATGACTTTACAAAAATAAAAGTAGCATTTTATATCTGGCACTTTGTACCAATTTAAAGAATGAAACATATCCTTGTGCTTACCATTATTTATTCTTTTGTGGCGATTCCTCAAATGTGATGGTTAAAACTGTGAAAATATATCACTTAATTTTACAACATGAAATCAGCATGGATGCCTTCAGACTCTGAGGCTAATATGTCCATAGGGGGCGAAAGTGTCCGCAGCTTGTATTGAAGTGGAAATCATGATAATTAACTTCTTTTGCTAGGTAATATTTCAAAACAAAGCTAAAATAACAAATATATCGTAATTTTAAATTATGCTTTTATCTATCTGGTATAAATAACATGTCGAATAATACATAACGTTAACATTGTGCAGAATTGCAAGTGGGTTTCTCTTGCATTGATTTACACTTTCGTCCAGTTTAAGAGAACCGTAAGTTAAAATTAAATAGCAAGGCGATTGATTAAAGTGACAAAAGGATATATAACAAAATTTTAACTTTTTTTGAAAAACTGTATGTTATAAAACTAATAGTTGTAAAGTATTATTCAACAAGGATCGCGAAGTCACAAAATATAGATGTAAAATTTATATATTAATCAACGTTAGGCTTTCGGTTCTCAAAGCAGACAGCAAGTCTGATTGAGCCCGCATGAGTATGAACACTGAAGACTGGTGTTCAGGAGCGTTGGCATCTATGAGGAAAGGTGGGGTAGGTGCTATTTGCGATAAGAAAATGACAACGTCCATTAGAAGTGAATAAGGACATTTTTGTGACTGGGATACTTTTTATTATTAATATTATAATTATAATTATTATTTTTTATAATTATTGCCAGATAAGGCCTTGAACAAGGGTCGGGACTGGCCTGTGCAAACGCCCGGTGCAACGCATTGTTTTGTACTACAATTACACTCACTAGTGTTGTTACTATGTCTAGTCTTTCTTATTTCTACTAGTTCAGATAATCTAACTTTAGGGTTGCCATTAATGTATAGATATTGAGTGTTGTGTGTAAGAATGATAATGGTGCAAATAAGCGGCTAAGCCGAAGTGGAATTGTAAACAACATGAATTATATCATCTCACATGGCTCTCGAAAAGCAATGCTTCTTGCTGACTGTAGAACTCTCCAGAGTTTGCTAAGATATATTAAACTGCCCACGCTCAAAACAAAGTATTTGCATAAAATACCTATGTAAATCAATTACTTAAATCACTACGGTTTTAAAATCAATAAAACACTTGTGGATATTGTAAGCCACCCAAATAATGTAGTCTTGTTGTAACTTTGCTCACTATTTAATTTCATTTTCATTTTTTTCATAATTATTCAAGATAGACCAGAATTTGTACCAGTCTTTGAAATGGCTTTTTTTTTTTTGCAATCGGCAGTAAGAAAGCTAATCTTGATTTCATGAAAGCGTTTTTGTGTTTGAGTTGATGGATCTTCACAAATCGATGACTCTATCAGAAGCATAGATCCTTGACTTTAAGCATTATGAACAAAGTGAAAGGTGTAGAAAAAGGTTAGTCCCACCTTTATTGGACCATACTCATTTGCACTTTAGCATAGCAGCAATATATGTAATATAATAGAATCGAGAAAAAACTGCTACACCTAGGGTACAACTTTACTAACCATATTCAGTCAAAAGGAGAAAACAGTAGATTTTGTCTTTTATGTCTATATTTCTTTCATAAGCAAGGGTTAAGGAAAGGGGCTTTCTTTGACAAATTTAAGACTTGGTATATTGCTAGTATTATTACCAAATATCAAGCACTGCAACATGAATGTTTGAAAAAGATCGACAAATTTTAAGAACCTAGATTGACAAATTTTAAGAACAATTTGAGGTTATATTTTTATTTTATGCCAACAATCTGCTTACTTTGTTAGAATTGCATGCTTGGATTTCAGGCCTTTTTCAAATATTCATGTTGCAGTGCTTGATATTTGGTAGATAATAGACCACAAACAATCATTTTTAGGAATACAACAGACTGAGACTCCATACACCCTGAACATTTATCTAATGGACATTAATTTGCAATTAATACTAAAGAATGCTTAAAGGCCTTGCATAATAATTTAACTTTTTGATAATGACAACAGTTGAATCAAGAACATCATTTAAAAATGGTGAACAAGGAGGTTTGGGGTTGCATTTGTAATTAATTGTAAGGTAATAGTTAAAAAGTGTAAAATAATATTTTTTCTTTCAGATATTAATATCCATCAACAAATAAAGCCAGCAGAACATATATTTGTTCTGTAATAAAAAGCTCCCAAAAGTTCTTTGTTGAATTTCCCTGCATAATGTAAGTTTTTTTTAAATAATGTATATGATGCCAAAAAGCAGAGGACAGTTTGCACCCAATGATAATAACAACCTCCATTTAAACATTTAATTTAAATCAACAGCAGCTGAGGGAAATATAGTTGAATTTAATGGAAATTGTTACTGGAGGCAAATGCAGTGGTCCTTATTTACCTTAAAAACAAATGAGGTTTGTGATGTAGTTGTGTAACATTAGACTGTTTTACTGGTCTGATTGATAGTACTATTAGAACATTTATTTACAATATATGTGTGTGTGTAAACAGATCATATCAACTTAGTATGAAGCTGAAATTAGTAAAATGACCAACCAGTCTGAAGTTTAGTTCATATCACAGTAATCAACTATTAAGGGAACACACAAAGCAGTAGACATATCGGCATCTCCACCTGAACAGGTTCATTAGAAGTTACCTCAACAATTAACTCATATACTAGGCTATTACACTATAATCACACTTACAGGATATAGCACTAGCACTTAGACTGGACATTAATATATATTATTTTTATGGGTAAAAGAGATAATGAATTGAAATTAAAGTAAATGAGTAGGTAGAAGGCCACTGGCATAATTATTTTTTTATTCTTTTTCTTTGAATTTCTATATTTAATTTCTATACATGTGACATCTTTATATCTAATTAGATTATGAGCAACCTACATTGCTTTTATGCTAATAAAAAGAGGACAGTTTAGATGCAATTACAGTTACAATTTCCATTTAATTAAGATGGAAATTCTTACTGAAAATGTAGGCAAATGCAATAGTCTCTATTTACGTAAAATACAATGAAGTGTATGATGGAGTTGTACCATACTTGACTGTTTCACTGGTCTGATTAAAACATTGCAGTTACTAGTAAGAAAAATACAGGATTTATACATGTATTGGTATTATTATTTTCATTGTTTTAGCATTTTTTTAATAGTGAGCTTACCAATTCCATTTTTGTAATTAGCAATTAAAACTTAATTTGCACATAGCATGGTAAAAGAACAATTGACTTTTGTTTACCTAATTCACAGACTGACCCAAAAAAGTTTCTCTGACTACATTTGCTCTTCCCAATGTCCTCACTGCTGATATTGTTTTCTAAAAGATATCATGCTAAATTAGTTGTATCAGGCAATTGTATGTACTGCATGCAATAGTTTATTCTAGTATGAATGTTGCATTATTTATTTACTTCAGTGGCCAGATTGTTTGACTCATACAGATAGCAAGTAGGTTTACTGTAGAGTCCTTGATCATAAACTAGGAAATTGTAGGTATTCAGTCTTTTTACTTGCTGCAATATATATGTATATATTTACTTTATTTTGGTTAATATTTTGGTAAATGTTAAAGTTTGATAATTTTTCAACAGATCTGAAGTGGTGGAACCAGCAAGAGATGCAAATGCAACAATAGTGCTACGCTTGGTTTATGTAAATCTACGCAACTTAAAAAGAGCCTGCTTAAACCAGAAAACAAAAGAAAAAAGAGCAGTAAGTATCCTTGCCATCTCAAAATCAATATGTGTGAACACACTGACTCATGTTTGTGCTATGTTTTAAAACACTGAAGTACATGACAGTAGTCTTTGATTAAAAGATTATTTGCATCTTGATGGTTCAGTAAGTAGTTATTTTGTAATAAATACCTAAGGTATTTTGTCATTTGCAACTATTTTGTGTGTTTAGAAAGGTATCTTAATAATATGAACTTTAAGGTTTTAATATATAGACCATTTCCATTTTAAGGAAGAGACATTGTTAGTGTAGACATATGCAGTTAAGTACTTTATGTCAAATCATTCATCAGTTTAAGCAGAAAACTTGGAGAAGATTTGCTGTACAACATTTTTCCAAACATTTTGATAATAATATTGTGGTATTTTGAAGTTTTTGTGTATCCTTAACCCACAACAGATATAAATATTTGTTGTAGTTGAAATTCACCTGTTCTAAAGTGGGCACTCTTGATATTTTTAAAATTTTTTACCACTGCCTGGACTTGCCTGGACATCATTTATTTCAATGTTTATTCTCTATACTTGTTCCATCTTTGATGTCTTATAAAATCATGAGCAACCCACATTGTTATTTATGCCAATAAATAGAGCAAAGTGTGCATCCATTCACAGTAACAACTTTCATTAAACTTCATTTAATTAACTTAAAGATGGTAATTGTTACTGTAATTGGAGGAAAATGTAATAGTCCTCATTTACCTTAAATACAAATGAAGTTAATGATGTAATTGTGCAACTGTTACATACCCTCTACCAGGGCCAGAGATTGATTTTTCACTAGAAATTTACAGATACAAACATCTCTGGTTGAATTCACGATTATTCTCTGTACTTTGGTCCTGTAAGGAAATCTCAAAGATGATTACATAGCTGGTAATTGTTTACATAACTACTCCACTTAACAAGTACCCCTGATAGTAATCAAGACTTTTGTCACAACAAAATAGCTTTTTACTTCAGGGTATTCCTTCAAACCATGTGACTAGTCTCAGCAAACAGACAAGACAAGAAAGGTTGCGTAACGTGTGTTAATCACATCGGCAGAAACCCCAGCTCCCACTGAGCTCCTGCAGGGAGGGTACGATGCCATCTGCATGCGTGCAGATTTAATTGCTTCATGTGCCCAAAAGTTTCTGGGTCCCCTCAGCAAAAATGTCCACATAATAATAACTGCGGCCCTGTTAGAGGGTAACTGTTTAACTGGTCTGAGAAAAATGTTGCAGTTTGGAGAAATATGTGATTTATATATTTGTTGTTTTTCATTTATTATTTTTTATTAGTTATGTGTATTGGCATGGTGAACTTACAATTCATAATCAGCAATAAATAA